TCCTGCTGCCGTGGGCGAGCTCTCCCGGTTTGACTTCTCGGGAGGTGGGAGTGAGGACGCCGGGCGGGGTTAATTTCCCTCGGGAGTTCTCCTTTCCCCTGCCCTGGGGAGGAGTGCGCGGCAGGAAGGGAGTTAGGTGGGTTCTCTGGGTCTTTTCGGCGCCCTGCCCACCTTATCTTGTCGGGGCAAGAAGAGACTGAGGGAGCTCTGAGCGGGGAGCTGGGATTGCCCCTGTGTTGGAGCAGCATTCCTCACGGGAGAGGCAGGAGCCAGGAAGGGGAGTGCAGCTCCAGCGTGGTTCCTTACCTGGGAAATCAGTCTGCGGGCTGGGAAGTTTGCGGCCAGCTGAACACAAACCTCCTCTCATCTGTAGCAGTTACTTGTTTGTTTTTTTTTTTTCATAGTTCCTCCTCTTGAATGTTAGGAATCCGTGAGTAAAATTCAAAGCCGTAGGTGTTAGCAGAGTACAGCTACTTGTGTCATGTTTTCAGCTGTCTTCACTGAGTACCTAGATAACGTGTTTGATGGAGCACACACGTGCCTCTGAGGGAGAAACAAGGGAGTGAAAGAGCAGAAGTTGTTGCCCCAAGTGAAGCGGTTGCCCAGGTTTTTCGGTATGAGCATTTCAGGCCTGTTCTTGTCTCAGAGTGCCTGTAGTTGTTGGTTTTGTGTTTTTTTTTTTAATTACCTATCCCTTCTAGTGAGGGATTTAATAAACACATAAGCCTCTTGTTGTGAGAATTACTCATCAGCTTGGGATGCCAGTTATTATACTGTTGTTCCATAATTACCTGCAAATCATGCCATATTGTTTCTCCTACTGGAAGGGGCTTCCAGATTAGCAAAGATTTTTATAATAGCTATACACCTGCTTCCCTGTGAACTTTCAGGAAAGTAATTACCTAATTCAGGCCACTTTATAGTGAAATCCCCTTTACCTCTGGAATACTTACGAAAGTTGAATGAAAGGATGTATGAAATCTGTCAAGGACAATTTGTGGTTTTTCTCAGAACAAATATTTGTATTGACTTGGTCAACCTGCCCAACTGTAGCAGATGGGAATACTGTTGAGAGAGATGTATATAGAGAGATCCCAGGACTGAAATAGGAGAGGATGCTGCAAGGCAGAGATTACAAGACATGAGCAGAGTTGTGTGTGTGGAGATAGTGACTTAGAGGTCTGAAGAGTTGCTTCTTCCTTCTGGAACCTTTAGCAGTGGATCAGCACTGCCTAGTTTTAGTTTGGCTACCTTATTGAAATTAATTCACTAGTTACTGTCACTAGAAAAGTCTTAGTTTAGTCTTCAGCATTTCCCAGGATCTCCGCTTTCCACTGTTGCCATTTTCTAAAAATTAAGCTTCAACAAGTATACATTTGCACATACACATTCCTCTGTCAGTTTGCAGGGTTGCTTTTCTTTTTCATAAAGATAGTATTTTCCTTATGTGGTCAAAAAATTCAGTGTTCAAATTTGAAAGGAAATATGTTCTCTTTCTATAGATAAAGCTTTGTGCTTTTCCTTCCAGAAGTTCATAATTAAAAAATGAACTTTCAAGCAATAGTTACAATAGCCCCAAATGTTTGTGACATTTTGTACAAGATAACATAACATCTAACTAATTCTCCTGGCTTTTTGAAGTCTCTCAGCACATTCCTCATCTGGGATAATTACAGAATTGATAACTTCTCTAAATGTATGATAAGACCGATAATTTTGGCATCTGTTGGAATAATTTTGTCAATAGGTCTGTTCTAGGATTAAATAGTAAGGAGAAGTTGCTGCATGAAGTGCCCTGATCAGTCTAAAGTATAGAGATCATTTTATGGTGAGAGAGGATGGGCAGGACTGGCCATATTGATCTCATGTAGAAGCTGCCAGATTTCCATGATGCAGGTGTGTATTTTACTCTCTACTGAATGATTCAGAATTCAAACCAGTGACATGCCAAAGAAAAATGCTGTAGCATGCAACAAGGCCCTAGGGTATCCAGTTACACAAAGGTTTTGCCAGGACACTTCTCTGGAAATGGGTAGTTTCTGAAAATGACAAATTATCAAATAAAGGTCTTCCCTTAGGGCTCACAGAACAGAAACTTCAGATTTCTGAAAGAAAGAATAAAAATCTTTCAGGTACTGCCTCAGACAAGAAATTTTATTATTCCCAAACATGCTTCAAGTAAATGAGTAAGATTAGAGATGAAGCCTGTGTTGGTATAATATTAATTTAAAATACATTTGCCATCTAACTATTCCAATATTTGAGGATGTCAGGACTAACTTCTGCATCTTCCGTCCCATATACATTATGGAATTAATATTAGTCGTGTTAGGCAGATCTCTCTCATTTGAATTTTAGGAGAGAATTGTGGAGTGGAAGTGTTGAGCTACTTTGTGTAGATCAGCCTATCGACAAGGTACATTGTACCATTGGGCTGCTAAAATAAAATGTGAATTGTCAGAGAGCTGGTGGACATATAGGTTCTTGGGGCTTGTGATACTGTAGCTTCGTGATTACAAAAATACATTCCACTTCCATACAACAGCAAATGTAGCCAGTGGTTTCAAAGCAAGAGTCTGCAGGACTTACAGATACTGATCTCTTAGCATGGAAGCAGGAGGAATCATGCATCTAACACCTAGAGGATAGCAATTCATAGATGAGTCTTCTCTCTTGTATTAGAAAATTGGGCTTTGCTTTCAGCCCTGCCTGCGTGACCTTCATCATGACTTGAACCTCAATTGTGACTACTAGTAAAAACTGTGAATGGCAGGGAAAGTTTATTAACCAACAGTAGAAGAGCTGCAGCTAGCAGTGAGAGTTTTCATGGTGCGATGGGCAATGCGCTAAATATGTATTTAAAACTACAGCTTTCTTTTTGTTATTTTTTGTTTTATCTAAATAAGTGCTGCTGCTATTTGTATACACTGCTGCTCCAGCAGAAGACAAAGTAGTAGTACATTTTCAAAGGAAGATGTGCAGGCAAAAGCCCATCTAATGTGCACACTTTACCAGCAGTGCTAACACAGAATCATCCCTTTATCTCTCTTACAGGGTCTAATAAGTTCTATCATGGCATCATCTCTTGTTATGTTCCTGTCCTGGAGACATAATATGCAGGCTGTGGCAACTGAGGCTGACCTCTAGATGCAGATTTCATCAATATTTCAGAACTTCCAGCTCTTTTATTATGGTTCAGTTTTGAGATCTGATTCCTAAGCTTCTTGTGAGTCCTGTGTTTATTTTGCTGCAAATCTGTGATACAGGAGGAACTTAGCAAAAGTCATTCAGCACTTACATAGTTGTGAGGAAAATAGTGTGTGAACACAGAGCAGTCAGGGCCAGAAGAGTTTTGCCGTTAGTTTCGGGATGTTTACAAGTGGCAAGTGGTAAGTTAAGACAGCTCGGGGAGTCCCACAGGGAATGATAGTTTACTCATAGTCAAGAAATGGTCTGGGGAGAGGAAGAGTAAGCAGAAGACAGCAGAAGGCAAAGGAAGCACTGTAGGGAAGCACTGGCATCTTGAGTTCTTCAAGATAAGTTTCTATTACATATATATGTATATATATATATAAATTATATAAAATTATTATTTTTAATTTTTTTTTTTCTTCCCTTCTGGCTCTGTCTCTTGCAGGAGTTCTGAGGAGAGGGTGTGCTGCTTTAGTGATGTTATAGACACTACCACCCAAGGCTTTCCATGTACTCTTGTTCCTGCTCTCCCCAACAAGGTAAAGGCAGTCCATATTTCTCTGGCTCGGGGTTGGAATGTGCCACCTTCTTGAGCAGAAGATATAATTGACAAGAAATTTTTTGTGTGCATGCATGTTTTACAGCTTTAGTTGCCCACTTCTGTGAGAATCCTAAAATTGTTCATTTAATAATTTCTTATGCTGCACTGTATCAAGTCAGTAGTCTGACCCATTGAGAGAGAGAAATTCCTGATACCTCTCTGATAAGGTTCCAGGTCAAGCTTTTGTCACCCAAGCTGCAGACAGTTTGGCCAGTTGTATTGCCCATGCTGTCAGTTAAGAAAGAATGATTCCATCTTGTCTTTCAGCGAGCAAGTAGTTTCTGTGCCAAAACATGGAATGAGCTGTAGGCTCCTTCAATATCTGGATTACCACGGAACGTAGCGTTAGCTTCTGCAAATCTTTTCCCTGTTGTCTTTTTCACAGACTGTGGACTTGTTTGAGATGATTGAAAAAATGCAGGTAAGCAGAGGTTATTTTGTCAAACCTTGACATCTCTTAATTCTTATAGCCAAATAACTGATCAGCTTCTGTTTTTCTTGTCATGTCACTCTCAGTACCCTTTAATTTGGAATTGCAGATCATTTAGCTCTTGTAGGTCCAAATTCCAATATTTAGTCTTAAATGGGTTTTCAAAAACATTTTCACGTGTTCATTTTTCCAACCAGCACAATGGAAGGAATAGACACAAATTATTATATATCTCTCCTTTGCAGAAGTATAATTCTGAGAGAAAATCATGATTGCATTAAGGTATTTCTGGCATCTTCAAGAAACTTTCTGTTGGGGAGCAGCTGCTAATGACAAGTGATTAATGGGGTGTTAACGCAACTGCATTTAGCAAGGTTTAATAAATAACTAATGTAGACCTTCTTGCTCAGGAAAGAAGGATGCTGGCTTAATTTTCTTATGAAGATACATACATTTAGTTTCATATATTATGTAATAAAATAGAGTAAAAGGTTACTCATCCCTGCCCTGTCAAATAAGGAGGTAGTAATATAATAATGTGATAAATCTAACAATAAAATCCTTAAAGCTAAATTTTTCATAGGATCTGTTTTTAAAGCATCTCAAAGCATTCTTACTCAAAGCATCCTCAAAAGACTGTCAGTATTTTCTGACTGGTGCACCTTCTTTATAACACTGTGGTTAACTTTGGCCTAACATAACATGCAACATGACACAAAAAGCTGGCCTTTTGTTGTGTGCAGGAATTAAAAGGTCATCAACTTATGGATATGCGGAAAATGCAAGACTTTGGTGGGACTGTAAAGGTGAGGAGTTGGAAGGTAGCAGCAAAGTGCTGAGTATAAAGTTGTGAGACTGAAGAACTATTTGGCAGAGTAGAAGGGAGAAGTGGGGGAAAGAGAAGCTAAAGGTGTATCTTCTATATGCTTATGTGTAGACAGTCACAGACCTTGAAACTGACACTCAATCTATGTTTGGGATATATTATTTGTGCTTTAGAATAACAAACTCTATAGATGTGCCTGGCTTATTTAGCTCTGTGTAGAAAGTAAGCTTGAGTGTGCAGAGCTGCTTTTTCCATTCAAGCACGTGTTAAAAGGTATGAAAATCCTCTCCAGGCCTTTTGAAATCTCTGTAAGGAAGAACCATTGTCAGAAGTCCCTTACTGGAAGACTACATTGCTTAAGATTTGCAGTATTTCTCAGAGATATAACAGAGAGAGCTGATGAGCATTTCCAATGTTGTTAAGACTCCATAACATATATTTTTTTTTAATTTAGCCTGTTTTTTCACCTGACTTGCACTAAGAGAATTAATAACTACTGGTTAAGCGTGACAGCAATTTTTTGAAAGAATGGAAGAAAGATGTTTTCCAAAAGAAAAAAAAGTCTCCCCCAAAATACAGTTGTGATTGTTCCTAATATTTTTACTGCATTTATTTATTCTTTTTTCATTTGTTTTCGCTTTTCCTTTCATTCCATTTGACTCTGGCTATCCTTTAGATTGGTTGAATCATTCTTGAAAATTATACTTGGGATTTTCGTTAGCAGTCAACTGTGTGAAAGGCAAAGCGGGAGACTTGGACATTTCCCTGTAAAATAAAAACAGAGCCACAGTATTGGATTAGTTTTTGAGTACTTTAATAATAGGATAGGAGTATAATTATTGGCCTGAAAATTAACATAGCTGTTTCACATTATGTGTGATAAATTAACAGGTAAAATAGTGCTCTCTTTTTAAACTGAAACCTGTGCCCAAGATCTGGGAATGAAATTACCCCCCCTTTTTTTTTTTTCTTTTTTACCTCAATAATCATTCCTTGAAATAAATGTGCCACTGGCCACATTGTTCTATGCATACAGATGTAGTGAAGTCACAGTAAATTGGTAAGGACACATAGGAATGCATTGTTCCTAGATTGCTTTGCAGTGCAAGCAGTTGAAAAACAAGCAAATCTTATTTCAGTCAATAAATCCATGTGCTTTAGGTCTTCTCATACTTGCATAACCGATCCCTCTTCATTTACATGCTTTTGTCTTTTATGATGTGATGTTCACTACCTCTATTTTGCATTTGTACAAGTTTCAAGACACCCTTCAGTCTTATTTTCTTAGAACTACCTTCAAGGGTTTTTTTTCCTGTATTCCCTTTTAATCTAAGTTGTCTGTTTTGAACTAGTCCTCTCAAGGCATTGGTTGCTCTTTCCTCATAAAAAATTTGCTGTCATAGCATTGCTATGTCATGTTGGGCCCAACTGAGAGTCTGGACAGCTTTTTCTTCTGCTGTCCATTCTTTCATCCTCAGGCCAGGTGTTTCCTTCTCAGTCTGATACTGTCTCCAGTAAGCTACCTAGGGAGACAGTCAGGGAAAGACTTTCCTTAAAGGCAGTGCTGCAGGCCAGACTGGACTGAATGAGAAGGGTGTCTCAATAGGTGGTTGAGACTGCTATAGTTTGTGCCTCTCCCTTCTGAGGAATGACAGTGATAATTAGCCAGTTGTTGTGCCCATGCTTTGACACTTCAACAACTTATGCTGTAAATTCCGTGCAATCCTGGTTACCCTCTGAAGTAAAGCTATGGACTATACAGCCAGGGCTGCTTGAGATCTTTGCCATTATCTTAAGCTTCAGTCGAGAGGAAAGGTTGGTAGATTTAGGCCTACATCTTCTGCTTGCAGGCTACCAGGAGCTCCTTTAACAGAACAGAGTCATGGAACATTCTGGCACATTCCTCTGCTTTCTGTAGAGGCTTCAATACAAACACAACTCATTTACAGCAGCCCAGAAGTTTTCCCTCAGGCCTCTGAGAGATAGTGGTCTCCTATCAAAACCTCCTCTGAAACTGGAAATGTTTTGCAGTTATCAGATCTGTAAAAAAATGCCAGGGAAGGGGAGATTGATCTTAAAAAAAAAATAGCAGTTTTCAGTCTGCATTTCCATGTGCAGAAATCCTCTGGTGCAAAGTAAGTTTGTCCTGTAAGTTTCCACAGTTTATTTCAGAAGGCTGAGACTGCTTTGTACCTACATGTTCCTCCTGTTTCAATCCCATTTTGATGGAGCATAGGGCTTTCTTGTCCCAAATAACTGTTTCTGACACCCCTGTTTCAAGACCTAGCCTTCCACATGAGCCCCCAACACTCTAGGTTGACAAGTGAAAATGCAGGTCACATCATTAAAACATTCATTTGCACTTACATGTAATGCACTTTGTTTTCTCAGCCTTATGACTTGCCAAAATGCAAAATGAGTACTGCTACCTCCACAAAAGGTAAAGATCACTTGTCAGCCTTTGTTCCATCTGAATTTCACAACCCACCATGTCCTGGTATTTTGTTGTTCTTTTTGTCAGTGCTGTCTACTGACATGGCAATTCGAAACAGATATCCTCATGTTTCCCTATGAAGAATAGTTAGAAGGTGATATTTCTTCAGGCTCCTCTGTTAAAAATACAGATGAAAAAAATATAATTTTGGGGGGGTTTGTAAACTTCTCATAGTTCAGCTTTTATAGTTTGTTCCTGTGTCACCCTATAGACATTTTGGCAAGCTTTTTTCTTCTAATATAGTAAAGGAAATGAACCACCAGTGGTCCATTGCAGGCAAGAAGGCCAGTGACATCCTGGGGTGCATTAAGAAGAGGGTGGCCAGTAGGTCAAAGGAGGTTATACTGCCACTCCATCCTACCCTGGTGAGGCCCCACCTGGAGTACTGCATCTAATTATGGGCTCCCCAGTTCATGAAGGATAAGGAACTACTGGCAGCAGTCCAGCACAGGGCCACAAAAATGATTAGGGAACTGGGGCATCTACCATTTGAGGAAAACCTGAGAGAGCTGAATCTGTTTGGCCTGGGGGAGACTGAGGGGGGAACTCAAATGCTTATAAATACCTAAAGGGTGGGTGTCAGGAGGATGGGACCAGTCTCTTTTCATCCGTGTTCAATAACAGGACAAGGGGCAATGGACAGAAGCTGGAGCATAGGAGGTTCAAGTTAAACATAAAGAGTTACTGTGAGAGTGACAGAGCACTGGGACAGGCTGCCCAGAGAGGTTGTGGAGTCTCCTTCTCTGGAGACATTCAAAACTGTCTGGACACGTTCCTGTGTGATGTGCTCTGGGTGACCCTGCTCTGGCAGGGGGATTGGACTAGATGATCTTCAGAGGTCCCTTCCAGACCTGACCACTCTGTGATTCCATGTGTGATTCTGTGAGAATAATTATTTTGCTGTTTTTATGTTATCTGCAGGTTGTTCCTCACTTGCTTTACTGTGTTTCTATATTTAGCCAATTAAAATTTGTTGTTATTTCTATTTTGTGTGTTTGACTTCAACTTCAAACTTACAATGCCCTCACACATCTTCTACTAATCTCTCTTGCCCTGGAGTTTACCCATATCGGTTTTCATCTAGTGTCTAGAGTTCTTTGAAGGTACTGTGCATTTTTTATGAGCCCAAGGTCTGGCTTCTCATAATTTCCTGACAGTTTAGCTTTTTTATGACTCATTTTCAGGTTCTTTGAATAAGTTTTGTCATTTTCCTATAACCTTGTTTTTATGTGTAGTAGATGTCTTTTTTTTTGTTCTCACCCCCACCCATCCTTGATGGAATGTTAGTATTGCTTAATGTTAATATTGTTGCTATACTAGCAGGTTTTTTCACCCTATATGGCTTGAGCTTTGGCCCTAAATTTTGCTCTTGCACCTCTTACATCACCACTGTAAAGCTCCACTCAGATTTACATATTTCTACCAGATACTAGTCTACAAGCTAGTTCCACTGTAGAATACATGCATAGACATAGCTGTTATTAAATAAGATCCTGCTTATTTTCTGAACAAGTTGAGAGCTGCTTGTCCTGTCTAAAATCTTTGATTAGCCACTCCATTAAGGAGCCGCTAATGGTGTATAAAATATAGCTGCATGGCCAATAGGTCAAGGGAGGTGATTCTCCCTCTCTACGCTGCTCTCATGAGACCCCACCTGGAGCACTGTGTCCAGTTCTGGAGCCCCCAACATAAGAAGGACATGGAGCTGTTGGAATGAGTCCAGAGAAGGGCCACAAAGATGACCAGAGGGCTGGAGCACCTCTCCTATGAAGACAGGCTGAGAGAGTTGGAGAGAGGAGAAGGCTCTTGGGAGATCCTATAGCAGCCTTCCAGTACCTGAAGGGGCTACAGGAAAGCTGGGGAGGGGCTCCTTACAAGGGCTTGCAGGAATAAGGCAAGGGGTAATGGATTAAATCTGGAAGAAGGGAGGTTTGGATTAGACATTAGGAGGAAATTCTTCAGTGTGAAGGTGGTGAGATACAGGAACAGGTTGTCCAGGGAAGTTTTTGCTGCCCCCTCCCTGGAAGTGTTCAAGGCCAGGTTGGTTGGGGCTTTGAGCAATCTGGTCTAGTGGGAGGTGTCCCTGGCCATGCAGGGGGCGTTGGAAGTTCTCTGTGCTTTGCCTGACAATATCTTTAGGGGAGAGGAAAGAGTAGAAGAGGAATGAATCACCCAAAAATACTGTTCTTTTGTGTTCTGTCTTTACCTCTTCCTTTTTTTTTTTATTGCTTTGGATAGGAAATAAAGTAGCCTGAAGAGATGAGAGAATTAAATGAGAAAATCAGTTTGGGAGGGAGATTGCTTTTTTATTTCTGCCAGCTTTCTGCTTTTTAAGACATGTAAGGTGAAGAGGCTTTTCAGTTTTTGTGCCAAATAAGAGAGACTGGCCAAGTTCTAGCTTTATTCCTGTTTATTCCAAACTTCTAAACTTGTGTAAGATAGAAGATTACAGAGAGATACCAAACAATCATATTGGAAATATGGAGAAGGACACAGAAGGTAAGTGAAACAGGCTGGAAAAAGCATAAGATTCACTGTCTGTGACTTTCTGTTTCCAGGGCAGTCGTCTGGATGAACAAAGATGTTCTCTTCCAGCTCCTTTGAAGGTCAGACCAAGTCATTGTTGCCTCCTAAGTAGCTGAGAATGGCAGATAATAACTGACCTGGCTTGCAGTGAATTTTAATCTTGAAGTGAACAGGGAGCCTACAAATGCCTACAAACAGCCAAAGAACACACAAATACTTGCCTGTTTTATTTTATGTTGTGACACAAGAGGATAAAACTATGCAGTGAAAACAGAATCAATGCTTCCCTTTTTCAAATTTAAGTGGTTCCAGAAAGTGTTTAATATCATTAACAACCTCAGTTTTGACTAAGAAATATCTTAGATATTGTTCAATTTAAGAGCTATAATACCACTTTATCTATTTTATTAGTCTGCTTGAGGACTCATAGGTGCTACTGAAAGCTGGTCTGTTTTCCTCAATATTAGGCCAAAAAGAACAGATTCCCATCTTTAACTCTAAATTCTTCCTCTTCATTCTTTCATTCTCAGCTTAGGCACAGTAACCTTAAAATAAAACTTGACCTTGCATTTAATCTTGGAATAAACTTAAAAAAAAATAAAATAAAAAGCCAGATAAATAATTGATATAGCTCAATTCTAAAAGAGATAGTCAGTGGTCTTTGTGGTGATTGAAGGGGCATCCAACTGCCATAAAGCTACTCAGATACTCCTCATATTCCTACAGCTGTGTCTCAGTGCTGCTCAGTTGTATACCACAGGTCTAGCTATGATGACACAACCTTGATCATGCTGTAAGCATGGTGCTATTTCTATTGTTCCTCCTGTCATCTCTGCAGAAAAACATCTGCTCAGCATCTGCGTGCTTGTATTTTGTGTAGTTTCAAGGAGGAAGGTGGATGAGCTCTGTCTCCTAAACTTACTGTTCTCAAAGTTGTATATTATAACGTTGAGACCTGGGAAACAGAGTCTAACCTTAAGGTTAGGGCACAGCTTGCACCTTCATGAGAGCATATAACACTCTAAACAATGCCATGCATTTTTGCTAATTGTCTCTTCTGATTTCAGACAGAAGAGGAGTATATACCTTACCCCAGCATCCACGAAGTGAGTTAGCACTGCTCTCCTCCATTTTTCCTTGGACTTTATTTGCCTTTCAGCTTATTTGCCTTTCAGCTTATTGGTCTTCCAGCTTTCACATTCTCTGCCCTTTTGAATAGGTATTACAGAAAGGATGGCCATATCCTCTCATTATCTTACCCCAGTTTGGGGGCTACTGGATTGAAGGGACCAGCCACAACCTCTCCAGCTTGAGTCCAACTCTGTCAGATGTACCCTTTCCCTGGAGTGGTAAAGTGAAACTGGAGAGTGACCCTACAGCCAACCTGTACCGCAGACATTTCCTGGGGAAGGTAAGAGTGACCTCCAGAGCCTTCTCTGCCCAGCCAGGACCAACACTGAAATGCATCTCGGACTTTTCCTGGTGGGCTTAGAAATAACTGCACAGCCACTCAGTTTCATTTCCTCATGATGCCTTGAACTAATGCAAATAAAGTACACATTACCATATGGCTAGGCGTGTGTTAGATTGGTTCTGTCCCCTTGTGATATTTGCATCATCCTGTGCATCAACAGAAGAGAAAGGTTTGCAGAGGAAATGCCTGTCATTGGTTTTGAGGCTCCTGGACAGATACCAGCCTTGGGTTGACAAGGGGAAAAAATGTGTAACGATATTGGAAATGAAGATGGTATTGTTTTTACAGAGGACTTCAGCCCTGCAGTGCAAAACCTCCCCAGTAGTAAAAAAAACGGCCCATTTTCCTCGGTGTAGATAAATAGTATGGTCACCACAGAATTTGTGCGAAGAAACTGGATAATGCATTTTATAATTGTTTGATTTAAGTAACTTTGGTGCTAAGTGTTGCCTGACTTGAAAAATTTCAGTCTGACAAATGAGGTGACAGAGCTTGGCTTCATTACATGGATGTTTATTGGCTGGCTGTTAAGTTCCGTCTGGGTTGGCCCATTTAAGGAATTGATTGATTCCCAGACTGGATGTCAGGATGATACTAACCATCAAAACCAAGTGAAAACAAGCCTACCATCTTTTCTGAGATTCAGTTCATACAATTTTCAGTCACGGTAAGTTAGGGTTGTATTTGAAGGTTTCCAGAGCCAGCTAGGATGAGAGGCAAACTGGGATATAAGTTTTTGAGTCTGATTGTAGGATTCAGTGCTGACCTGATCACAACATCACAGAATGTTTGAAGTTGGAAGGGGCCTCTGGAGCTTGTCTTATCTGTACTCCTGCTCAAGCAGGGCCATATTATTATTCTTCCTTAGAAGTGAGATCCAGAAATTCCCATATTTATTTGAATTACACATTTGCAAAGTGCCCAACCATCAGTGCTTTATTACTACAGAAAAACTCCTCTTACCTGTATTCTTCCTTTTCTACAATGTTCAGTGTTTTATTCTTTGTCTTAATTGACATTAATGTGTGTCTATGTTCAATTAAATGTGCAAGGATTTGAGCAAGAAAGTGTCAGAAAAGGACAAGGTAAATGGGACTCACATAAAACTCTACCAGTGGGTAGAAAACTTCACCCATGTCTTAAAGGCTTTGGAGCTTTTCCACAAGGAGAATATTTCTTCAGTTCAAAGTTAAGAGAAACCAGTTATTTTGGTTCTGTGTAGATTTGGATCCTTTTCTTGCTCGTAACATGGGAAGGCCATTTCAGAAAGGTAAAGAAACCTTTATTGCATGCTTGAATAAGCGAACATTCTTGGCCAAAGTAAAGAGTCTATAAGCATCACGTGGTGGGAGAGGCATAGTCAGTGCTTTAGGGAATATCCTTTAATCAAAATGAGACATTGGAATGTGTATCCTATTACAAACTTATTATGCATATCTGTCTTGTGGGTGTGTGTATACTATATCACTCAAATTTGGGCAATTCCTTCAACATTTTTTGCAGAATATTTTACAGCAGATTCTATAAAACAATCACAAAAAAATGCTAGGACATACAAGCCATAGCTCAGTTCCTTTTCTTTATTTTGTGGTCTATATTTTATATGACGACTACACAGTAAGACTCGTTTTGCCTGTAGGAAGAAGGCTGTAAAACCTTATGTCTTATACCATGGAAATTACTAAATGTCTATGTTGTTTTGATTCAAAGTCATAATAGAGAAGTAGCCTAAAGCCAGGAAATTTTTAATAAAAGTATGCATTGGAAATGCCAGTGAAAGAACCTTAGGGTGCAGTTTCACCAGCACTTGAAGCTGGCAGTGCTAATGAGAGAAGCTTTCATGTCATATATGGTCATGTGTTTCTCCACTATACTGTCCTTCCTTTGTGCTGGTCAAGTGTTGTTGCTGCAGTGTTGTGAAATGTTAAGGAACTGACTATGTGGAGTCTTCTCAGTGGAAAGACCTATATCTTACATTATTGCTCTGAAGTTCTAGCTTAACCTAGGACAAAGAAGTGGAAACTATTTGAAACAGTCAAAGGACTTTTTAATTATGAAGAATTATTGTAATGATCTCTTTTGTTATTTTAAAGTCTCTCTGATTTTGTTTAATTACTACAAGTCTGTGTTTTTAGTAAACATGTAAATGTAAATGTTAGTAAACACTCTGACTTCCTGAGATGGCATGTTTTCTCATACTCAGGATAATTTTCCTCTGGTATGCAAATACATGTGTTTTGGAGCTTGTTATTGTTTTTCTGTCATCACAAGCTGACATCAGCCCAAGATATATTTTTTGTATTTTATTTTAAAAAAATTCTTTCCAAGGCCTGCAAGGACACAAACTTATTCGGTATTATTTCAGTACCAACCAAGCCTCAGTGTTTCTGTGTTCTGCTGTTGCTTCTAGCTCCTTGTTATCAGCTGACTGGCATATGACACCTTTCACTTTTCCAACAGGAAGGCTTGCTGTAATAATGATGCTGTCTATTCAGTACTGTAAGTTCATTAGCTGTGTATCACATAGGTTTGGATGTTCAGGTATCATTTTCTTTTTGTAGGTCATGTAATCATTTGGCCACCAAAGTTGCCTTTCTTCCTTCCTCAGGGCTGAAACAATCCCGATGTTTTACCAGATGACCATAGGTTGCCAAGTTTTTTCAAAGTTGTTTGTTTTATTTTCAGTTGTCTTTGAGGAAAATAATGGGCTACTGAACCCATTTTGAATCCTGTAAAGATCTGTTAGTGTTATCTGGCTTCCTTTGCTCTTATTGCTGAAAGAACTGATGAAATATTCCAAGCCCCATGGAGAGGATGTCTTTGACTTTCATCTGCTTTGTTCATATTTGGCCTGATTGCTGCTATTCAGTAGTGGATAGCCCAAGAGGCTAGGAGCATGTCTTTATAGCAAATGGATTAATAGCTTTCTAACTTCTCAAGCAAAGTGTCAACACTCCTTGCATCTTCTGTTAGTCTTTTCCCTTGGCCTCACAGAAGATACTTAATTGCTTTTACGAGATACACTTGAAAACCAGAACTTCTTTTCAGACTGCCTTAAATGTTACAGAAACTGCCTCTCTGGCTGAAGAAATGTGCATCTGTACATAGGTCATCTCAGCTCAAGGTCTTCTAGTTGACATTCAGTTTTGCAATCTTCACTACTGACCATAAAGCCTTTTGATGGTTCATTTCTAACTTCAGGACAGCTGTTGCATGTTGGAGGATTCTGAATCTGCCTTCTGTTGCCTATGTGTTTTCACAGAGAATGAAAATCACAGTGGGGGGGAAGTAATAGCAAGAAAATTCTAGGGTTTTTCATACATACAGTTGCTCAGATCTCAGTTTAAACCCCCAGGCTTACATTCAGGGTCAAGCTAGGCAGCCAGAGTAGCTTTGACAAGAATTAAATTATTTTAAGACCTCCTCTAATTCTGTTGCCCGTTCCCCTGTGAAGACTGTACTCCTTTGTGCAGCTCTGCTCTGTTATTCTGGCTGCAGAGCTAATAACCCAGTCTCCAAAGCAACTGAGATGCCAATGTGTCAGACCTGCTGGGGTCTGGCTCAGAAGTCTTATCAGAAGGTGTCCTGTTTTCAGGTCTTTGCAGCTTAGTGTTACTTTTGGCTGCAGCCAACCTCAGGGTTTGTCTGCTGTTCCTTTGTTCTGTCATTACTTTTGTTGGCATTATGCCACAATGAATACTGCACTTCATTATTATTCAAATCCAAAAATCTGTTAGTATCCTGAAAGTCATGGTCAGGAGAAATAAACTGTCCTTCCAGCCTTTGTGGCTTCCTTTGATTTCAGCTTTTTTCCCCATGTACTACTGTTGACTTGTGTGACAGATCACACTGGGCTTCTGATTTGAGCACTTAACCTAGAGGCCCCATCATTCTGTTTGCCTGGTTGCTGCTTTTTACTTAGTCCTTATCTTTTTCAGGACCCAGTAATTTGTTCTGTTTCAGCAGAAGGTAGACTACGCTAGCACCAGAAGCCGTGAAACTTTTTCCCCATAAGTCAGTAGCAGGGCAATTCTGAGTGTTGAGGTTTATTTCTGTTTCAAAGAGTGAGGACAGTGATATGTCTAACACTTAAAGAAGTTCAATAGTTTCATCTTCACATCCAGGTTCAAAGTAGTGACCATAGTTCTAGTTATTCCTTTTTTTTTTTTTTTTTTCAGAGGGGGCTTTGTTTATGTCTGGCTTCAAGATGATGCCTATGTCTACATAGATATCAGAGTATTTCACTAGATGTATCTTTATTTCACAGTGAGTCAGAACTGTGGCTAATACAAAAAAATGTTTTGATTTTTTTCCATGGCAAAACACAATCTCAGCAGTATGGTTAGCGAGGTTGCAATCCATCAGGGATAGAACAGACCTTCTATCTATCCTAGGCAAAAGGCTGAGAAAAGAACTGAAAGGCTAGCAACTTTTAAATCAAGTTAAAGACTTTTCTCCCATTTAATCCTTATTATTAATTAACTGTGTCCAGAGTATTCCTTTCACAGAACCCATTCCAAATTGTGCAAGTTCTGACTATATGACTGAACACTTTTCCGTCTCATGACTTCTATGTCGTGCATGAGGATGCACTTAGGCAATACTTTCTGTGATACTTCCTCTGAGTCTTACACTCCTGGTTACTAGCTTCATGCTCCCTGGTTGTCTTCTCAGGTTGTCACTGACTCTGTCTTTGATTTGAGATGGCTGCTATTCTGGTGGTAGAACAGCCCATTCATTATTTGAAGATGAAGGGGTTTTTAATCTGTCTCCTTCATTTAATTTGACCATGACAAACGCTCTGCATTTAGGCTGAGGAGATTACTTCTACAGCCAAACAGCATAAAAACACTGGTGTGAATCAGAACAGAATCTGTACAGACTAAAGTGTATGCAGAGTACTTGAATTTCTTTCCAGAAAGTCAATGATGGGCAACACTATCATTAGAAAATAAAACAACAAACAAGATGGCAGTTGGCACCTCTTCTCCGTGAAAGCTGGTAAGTGGAATTATGGGAATAAAGCTCCCTAATGAAGTGTGTGCATTTTTTCTCTTGGGAGCATCTGACTTCTCAGTGCCTGGACAAAGCCTTTTTTTCCTACAGAACCACAATTAGGAAATCCAGCTGGATACCTTGAGGTACATCATCTGGGATTTGGAAAATCCCAAGATTTGTCTGCAAAATGTAGCCTTGATTTATTTTTGTTCCCCTATTTTTTTTTCCCTGTTGCCTAAGCTGTTCTGCACTGAAAGATCTCTGTGGACACATCATTGATTTCATAGTCAGCAGATGCTTGCTTTAGGGTAGCTGAGATGATTTTGGTTTTGGGGTTCTTTATTTTGTTTTATTTATTATTATTTTGCTTTGTTCAGAAGGAGTCTTACCTCAATTTCAATTGTTACTAGCTTAGAAGTACCATACCAATCTCACTGTATTGTTCTGTCTTGGAGGCTAAATACTGGAATGTGCTACTGCACCTTTCGGTGGAAGTTCTCATTAGCAGGAAGAGATTTAGGTACTAATCTAATAAAATATAATCCAAAGAGAACTGGATCCTCTGCATGACATTCTTGTGAGTCTCTCTGCCCTGCTTATACCTCAAACCCAGTCATTTTGGACCACTTGCTGAAAGCATGAAACCTGCCTCAGCTCTTTGGTCAGATTTTATGTAGCAGCCACCTCCAAAAACTGGCCATGAAGTTGGTTTTCCATTAGGAAGGTGGGAGTGGGAGCAATCTAAGCATTTCTCGATGATTCCACCTATATAGTATTCTCCTTGTGCTAGAGATTTCCATTCACATTCATTGTCAAAAATCTTTAATTTTTTTGAGGTTAGAAGTTATGTATATCAATATGTGTTATATAAATGTGATGTATTGATATATATGTATTGATGTATCCAGGGCATGGGAACATGGCTGTATACCCAGGTGAAATGTGTGGCTACTTCTGTTTATAGCCTGTGAAAATGTTTGCATTGTGCTTCTTTATTTGACTAAATTACTTTTTCTGTTTGAGGTACACACCATTAACTCAAGCAGTGATGGTGGTACTGCTGAGAACAGTCTCCATCTGCAGAGTAGTGCTCTGACTGCATCCTCACTGAGATGAGAGTGTTCTTTGAGATCAACCATTTGATATAATGATCCTGCCATTACTGTTGGTATAGAAAATTCCAATGACCACATCCAGTTGAATGTGCTGGAGACCACTACTTAGTCAGGCGTAGTCTGAATGGAAAGGGAAAATTCATGAAAGAGACTCATTTATTTAGAAGAAACTCCATTTCTCCAAAATGTGTTGCTAAATGTCCTCATCCTGTTTCTTCTCAGGAGCCCTTCTGATCTTGGACAGCTGAGGAGGAACTGAACTGACAGTGGATGAATTTTGACTGATATGCACCAAAGGGCTAGGAGACAGCATATGCATGTCTTCAAGCATGTCATTGCTATTTAAAGAAAAAAAATCAGCTAATCTTGAGTCCCAGATTGTATACAAAAATGTGGTAAACTTCTCTGGGAAGTGTCTTGGGAATGATGCATTTTAATGTCCTGTTTTCAGGAGCACCAGAACTTTTACTCCAGTGACATGTCCTTGGGCTACCTGATACTTTCTGTGAAGTATGAACTGATTGAGAAACAGGAAAATCTACGCCTGTTGCTGAGGTATCAGTGCATGTTCTTGAAATGTATGTTACTGTGCTGTGTCTCTCATCTTACCTTCAGCTTCCTCTGCATAGAAACAGGTATGAATCTCATGTCTTTTTCCTGTAGAGGACTGCAAAGAAACCTCTCAGCCTTCTTTTCTTGCCTTCCCTTCTGAGTTTCTCTCAGGAAGCTGAAGTGGTGTTTGCAGGCACATCTTTATACTTCCTGTGTGAAAAACATTTGTTCTTACATAAAAAAATGTTTCTGTTTACTTAGAGACATGTGAGTACTGTCTAGGAGAGTATTGGTTCCTTGATGGAGGGCATCTTAGCTTGTCTTTGGACTTTGTACTTGAGAATAAGACTCCCTCGAAGGTGAGCTAGAACAATCCTTAGCTTCCCAGAACAGTCTATGTAGTGCCATAGTCTTCAGGGCTTCCACAGAGAGCCATTACCCAGAGGGAGCTGCTGAATGAACTAGAGGAAGAATGGAGATGAATCTTGCATAGATGAGAGGTATGCTGCAGAAAACATTTTACCACACTGTGGGTGTGCACTGGGTGCACTTCCAGTAGGCAATATGCTACTGGAACCAACTGAGATACAGTTGCTGCTGACAAGAACTCATCCAGGATTGAGGGAAAGTAGTGGTTGTGCCAGCTATAAAAGAATCACTGGTAGTTTTCCTCCATTGTTTACAGAGAACAGTTCAGAGTTCCCAGGCTCCCAATAATCTGGGAGGTGGAAAGAGAGGGTGTATTCATGAGCTGTGGCAGGGAATGTTTATCTGAGCCCAGAAAGCTTCCTACATGGAAGAGACCAGTGAAGAACAAAAGGGTAGTAACTTCTCCATTAGAATGCCAGACCTTTTGCTCAATAGTTTGTTTATAATGGTTTGAAGAGGACTCTGACGATATTTCTTCTCCTCTAAAAAGACACGTCTCCTTCAATATATATATTATGTAAGAGAGAGAAATGAAAGTTTTCTTCATCAGCTTTCTGGAAAAATGCTATACCAGTTTCTAGCTCCTATAATTTGCACAGATCTGCTTTGCTAGGCTGTCTCTAGCAGGCCTTTTGGCTGTCTTTCAAACCCTCACTGTGTGCTCTTATGCATCAATTACACTACAGTATCCATAGGTTGTATTTAAACATTTATATTTCTGTGGAAGAAAAGGGGGAGGAGCTTAAGGGGGGAAGTGAAATATTTCTTCAAGCAAGCAAAGAATCCAAAGGAGCAAGAGACTAAGCCTCTCAGTTCTGTCTTCCTCTGCTTCCCACAACAAGTTATAAGAAATCAGAAGTATAATTATCTTCTTTTTCTAGTGATTTTATGCACCAGACTTAAAATTAAACTCTAAAATTAACTGCTTTAAGGATTATCTGAAAGAATGGCTGCTTTCTTTAAAGAGACAGTGTTGCTTTTATCACACTTCAGCCTTTTTTGTTTTGTGTCAGGACTCGGACTGGTACCAAACATGACCTGATCCCCATTTCCTGTCTGAATGAGTTTCCCAATGCTGTCCAGATGGCAAAGGTGAGGCTTGCCTGTTCACTTTTACAGCCTCACTCTTCAAGATACTTTAATCTCTGTCTTCCCATTTCCCTCTTTTCTACTATTCTCCAGTAGAACTGTCATATACTTCCCTTTTATACTTCCATTTAGCTTCTCTTCTTTCTATTTGATTATTGCCTCAGAATTTTTGCCTGAAGGGACTCCTGTCAGATAATTATAAACTGTACCTGTGCTCTCATGTTCACAGCTAGCTATGGCATGTGATAATCACAATTCTGTTTCCCCTCTCTGTTACTCAACAGCTACTGTGTGAGGATGTGAATGTTGAACGCTTCTTTCCTGTCCTCTACCCCAAGGTATAACATTCTGATATGTCTCTCCATACCTTTTCCATCAAGGTCTGTCTAATGACATCCAACTGATAATTTATATTTTCATTACTTCAGGCTTCACAGCTTATTGTTGCATTTGATGAACACGTCATAAGCAATAACTTCAAATTCGGGGTCATCTACCAGAAACCTGGACAGGTAAGCTCCCTCAGACCCCACAAGACTTGACGCAAAACACAAAGAGTCAGTTCTCTTAGCTTAAATATATAACAAGGTCTGTACTATCCTGTGAAAAATACAGGCAGGGTAGAAGCTTGCCTTAGGTTGATTGATCTGTTTGTGCAGGCCCACAAAGCTGGTTGAACTCTATATAGAAATGAATGCCTGTTCTTTGTACTGCTTGTGCTCCTTTTGACTTCTCCTTTCCTTTTGAAGACAACTGAAGAAGAAGTCTTCAGTAACGTAGAAGAAAGTCTGGGTTTCCTGGAGTTTCTGGATTTCCTTGGTGACAAGATTCAGCTGCAAGATTTCCGTGGGTGTGTACCCAGTGTGGCTGGAAAGCCAGACTGAGTTAGGGAACACCATGTGTTTGGAGGCTGCAGCTCTATTAGAGCCCTGCTTTTAGGAAAGTGCTGTGTCCTCTGAATCTCAGTGCAGGTGGAGAAGCCCAGAATGTGTTGTGTTGACCATCCTGTCTGGGAACCAGTTGGAGCTTAGGTCTCTGCTGGTATTTTAGTTTAAAGGTCTCCTGGTATCTCGGTCTGATCCACAGTATCAGTAAGGAATAATTTTATTTGACTTTGTGAATGTAAGTTTGTTTCACAATGGTAGGGATCAGTATTGTTTCAGTCTCTTTCTGTGGGGCAGCCTATCCTTTCTGTAGCTCTAAAATATGGATTGTGTTTCTCAGAAGAATGCCAAAGAAAGTAGCTTCTTTGAGGAACCCTGGTTAAGTCTCATAGCTCTTAGCAAGCAAGTATATTCATTAGCAGAAACATTGTGCAGCTTCAGTCAATGCATTTATTTTGGGAAGACTCAGTGCCCCACTGTCAGTGATTTCTTAAAAATCACCTTTGATAATATAGATATACCAAGCTACTGTTACTGATGTCTTTATTTCCTCTCTCTACTTTCTCATTTCTGCCCCACCTGACCTATGGCATGGTATGGATTTGCTCAGGTTCCGGGGAGGCTTGGATGTCACTAGAGGTCAAACGGGCACTGAGTCGGTCTATACAAATTTCCGGGGCAAGGAGATCATGTTTCATGTGTCTACAAAGCTGCCCTTCACAGAGGGAGATTCCCAACAGGTATTGTAAGGAGAACTAAGGAAGTCAACAATGTGGCTAAGAGGGGAAGGGTATTTGATGAGTGACTAGTTAGAGGGGGAAAATGCCTAACTGCCTATTGTTGGGAATTATAGCTGGAGTAATGGTGAAAGTAGTGAGGGGTTTGGTTGAATGGATGGTTTGGAAGTGCTAGGCAGACTGGTGTTTGAGGCCTCATTGTCCTGTTCTACTCTTTTTCATCTGCCTTCTCACTTTATTATTTCTTTCCTCTCCAGCTTCAGCGGAAACGTCACATTGGGAATGACATAGTAGCCATCATCTTCCAGGATGAAAGCACACCTTTTGTCCCTGATATGATTGCTTCTAATTTCCTACATGCTTATGTTGTAGTTCAACTCACTCATGGCACCACAGGAGACACTTTCTACAAGGTAAACAGAGGCAACAGGTTCCTCTCTACTAATTTACTGATGCTGATCCTTCAGATGGAAATCTGCTCTTGGGCCTTTGGAAGAGGTACAGGTTCAGCCAGCTGTCATCCTAACAGCTCTGTTTGCTCTTAGAAAACTTGATCAGCATTTTCAGTAAAGGGCAATAATCAGATCTGTTACCTGTAAACCTATAAATACAGTAGCTGCCACCAACTATCCTCCCCCTTTACCCACTCTTTGATCTCTAACCAGGAGTCTCCTTTCTACTGTGGTGTTGTCTGTTCTGTAGGTTTTCAGAGGTCTTCTCTGTTTGGTGTGACTGCTACTATTTAGCAATCTGTCTTCATGTTTGTTGAGTATCCAGTTTTCATAAAGATATTGAGAAGCTGGATGGGGCAAGGGGGTGAGACCGAGCATTATTAACATTCTGGAGCACAAGTGTTTCCCTGAAAGGCATCCAGGACTCCTTACTGCTTCTACCTAGCAAATAGAAGGGTAAAGAATAATCTGACCAATTTGTTAAGTGTCTGCTCAAGTATCTGGAATGTACTTGGATGCTGTTCAAAGTAGCTGATGAATTTCTGAAACTTAAAGCTTGGGAATTGAAGCAGGATGAATTTAGATTTTAAAAATATGTTTACATCAAAGACCAGGAGGAGCAACTGATGCCATTTTGGGGGATGTCTCGCCTGCATTATTTAAGTCAGATAAAATTAATTCAGCTGACTGACAGCCATATCTCTTGCTTATGCTAAAGAGCACAATGCTGAAAGCTTGCACTGCATGAGACTGCAGGTTAGATACACCTGATTGGCCTAATCTATGGAATCTGAACCATCTATATCTGCTTTGGGGATCCCAGAACTGATGGCATGGAAGTGCTATCTGCTAGGACCCTCCAGCTGAAAGAAGCCCTGCTAGAACACAGATTGCCTGTCGCATGAATCTACAGATGTCAGTATAACGTTATGTTCAACTTTCAGTCATGCTGAGAGAGCAGAAAATATATAGAAGCTTGCATTCTGTGATGGATTTTCCATCACAGAAACATTTTAATCAGTGCAGTGTCTTGTATTATGTCAAAATTCTAATTTGGTGGTGATGAGTCCTTATGCCTTGGAGGTCTGCGAGAACACCAAGGATATAAAAAACAGGACAGGATCCCCATCTGCCTTCCCATCAAAGAGGGTGCTGGGGGTGGAACAACTGCCTTCCATTGTTCCTTATGTTATGGGTAGCCAGGTCTGTAGTGACACAATAGCCTCATGTTGGTCAGGGCCACGGGTTTCCAGTTCTCCTTCAGCAATCTGTTTAGTAGAGCACAGAAATTTACTAGATTTTTTTTTAATGGTGAGCTGAAGAAACTTCCCATTTGTCTTGTCTCTTCCTACTATTTTTTTTACCCTTTGCCTGTCTGCAGTGGTATTTTTTTTTGTCAGTGTAATGGGGTTGCCTCTCTAATTTCATGAAAAAGAAAGAGTCCCAGTCAGGACCCTAGAGCCAATACAGGGTTTTCTGTGAAGGCTTTTCTGTGAAGGCTTTTCCAAAGAGGTTTTAACTGCTTCTGCCTTCAGAGTATTCTAGTACCTAAGATTTTTTTTCCGCCTGTTGTTCCATTTACTTTACTAGGCTTTAGTGACTAGTCATTAAATTGAATTATTAATGGCATTTATTTCTTTGAATCAGTTTTTCCAATCAGAAAATTAAAAATGGAAAAGCAGGATTATTCACCTTAGAGAAGAGGAGGCTGAGGGGTGACCTCATTGCAGTCTATGGCTTCCTCACGAGGGGAAGAGATGAGGCAGGTACTGATCTCTTCACTCCTGTGGCCAATGTCAGGACTTGGGGAAATGGCAGGAAGCTGAATCAGGGAAGGTTTAAGTTGGAAACCAGGAAAAGGTTTTTCACCTAGAGGGCCGTCAAGCACTGGAACAAGTTCCCCAGGGAAGTGGTCACAGCACCAAGCCTGCCTGAGTTCAAGAAGTGTCTGGATGATGCTCTCAGGCCCATGGTGTGATTCTTGGGGTGCCCTACACAGGGACAGGAGTCAATGATCCTGATGGGTCCCTTCCAACTCAGCATATTCTATGATTCTCTTGGAAGGGAGAAGGAGGGCTTGTAATTAGGGGAGGTGGCCTACAGTGTGAGAAACCCAAATTAAATCGAAGGCCCCTTTCCTTCTTCATCTCATTAAACTGCCTCTCACTGGCTACATGACATTCACACTGTAGTGTTATTTTCAGGCAGTTGCTGTTAAGTTGTTCTGGTGTTGTTTCCTGTTGTATGAAATGGCAAATAATGGTATTCCTCCATCTCAAACATGAGAATATTTAACAGTAATTTTTTTCATCAAGTGCTGTATGTATCCAGTAAGATAGCTGCATATAATTATAGGTAAGTGCTGTGAAGAGCTGAGCAGTATGTAAAAACCAGGCTGCATTACAGTTACATGTTTTGGCATTGGTGTATCAGGTAGGGGCATGTAAAAAAACCCCACAAAACAACAAAAAATCAGCATGGATTTCATTATCTCTTAGTGGAAAAGTATATTCATGTTTACCACATGTGACTTGGAAAAGGGATGTCACCAAGATGCTCTCCTCAGTGTGCAGTGTATATCCACTGAGGATTCTGTCAAAAAAAATAGGTCAATACAACCATATTGACAAAGGTTCTTCTAGTGGATGTAAATCTTGCAGGCTGAATAGAAGCATCTTAATTTTTTGTTCTAAATACACTGTTGGGGACTAAAAATATTTATTGCAAATATTGCAAATATTTTTAAAAGAGCAATTGGTTCAGGTGTTTTTGTTGCTCTTACTGTGTGCACATCTAACTGACTGAATTTCTGGGAGGTAAATCAGCACATCTGTTTACTGGGTTCAGAAACAGATGGATTATTGGGACAGCATATTAGGTCTCTTTTGGATATGTAAGTGATACAGGAGGGATCAGGTGCACCACAGTCATTTGAAGGCTTTGATAGTCTCATTTGTGTTATGGTACTTATTTTTTTCCCCTTTTATTGTTTCAGGTTTCAGTCACAGCCAGAGATGATGTCCCCTTTTTTGGACCCCCTCTGCCAAATCCAGCCATATTTAGAAAGGTTTGTTTCTCTTGTCCAGTGTTAGATGGCAGGGGGGATACAATGCATACCCTTGTATTCTCAGTCAGTGTTGTCAGTCTGGTGAGATGACTTTGCAGGTCTAAGGAACACTAAGGCAGAGCTGTTCTCATGTGGTCTTTTTATTACTGTTCTGTTCTCCAGTCTAGTCTTCATCTTGTCTTGTAGAGTGCAGAGTTCCGTGAATTCCTCCTGGTCAAGCTCATCAATGCTGAGTACAGCTGCTATCGAGCTGAGAAATTTGCTAAATTAGAGGTGGGTCTACTGTATGGTATGAAAATTATGAAACTTTAATACTGCCAGATTAAGTAAATAGAGTATACTTTTTTACTTCTGCTTCTGATTTTGTGTTGCTTAAAAAAGATTAAATGTGATGATATTAAGCTATGTGATGCTTCCTTTATATGTCACAGGAGGAGTGCTAGACTATGAACAGGTACATTCTAATCTAATCCTCAAGTAAGACTGGGAATCTGATGGGAATATGATCCTTTTCCTGGAGGAAACCCTGTATTAGCTGAAACTCAGTATCATGCTACAGGATATCACAGATTTTGGTTCAACATACCAAAATTCTGTTTCAGACTGCTGCTTGCCTGAACAAGAAGAAACTGCCCTCAATCTGTTTCTGTTTCATCACCTGTAAAACAAGTGCTGATGTCCTTTATATCTTGGTTTAGAAAGATCTTTAAAGGGCTGGTATTACTGTAATGTATTACATAACTATACAGATAAAATCACTTCATACTATTTAAATTAATTTCAATGGTGATTTTTTTTTTTTTTAAGGAAGATGTGAAACACTGAAAAACAGGTGTGGGGGGGAATAAAATCTCTCCATTCCCTTTAGTAGCTGTGTTTTCATTCTCTGTGTTGATGCAGGAAAGAACCCGGAGTGCCCTTTTGGAGAGCCTTTTTGAGGAGCTGCAGCTTCGCAGCCGCAGTATGATGGGATTGCCTGTAGGGGAGGATGACAAGATGGAGAACGGCAGCGGAGGCTTCCTTGAGAATTTCAAGGTGGGCCATAGTGGATTGATTCCTTACCCAGGTGCTCACACTTTTCTCAAGCTCATTTTGTGTCCATCCAAGGAACTTTGACCCTGCTGATCACCTGTGCTTGGGAGAAACTGAAAAAAAACCTCTTTCCAGCAGCCTTCCTTTAGAGCACCTTCAGTGGTGCTTTACCACATCTCTCAAAAAAAGACATTTTTCCCCTTCCTGTGCTCATTTCTGGGGAGCTACAGCATGGTGCAGGGTGGAATTCCATTCTATCCCTGAAAAGTCAAACTCTATATGCTTCATGCTGGTGTCTAGTGTCAGATGGGGTTTCACTCCATGACTCACAGAAAAAGTAGTGAGTGTTTGCAAGAGGAATTGCAATCCCTAGTAACAAGCAGCTCTCAGTTCCTACAGCAGATCTCTTCAAATTAATTTTCATTGTAACTGAAAGAGTTGCAAGAGCCATTGTAAGAGAGTTTCAAAGATACCTAGGAATGTACTGTCTAGAAAAAGTGATGCTTGGCTTCTAAAAGCCAGAGGTAGTTTATCTTTGTTCAGTGGTGAAACTTTTTTTTTTTTAATAAATCAGGACCAGGTGACACAACTTACTTTTAAAAGTGATCAAGATGATATGAGAAAGCAAAGGTTTTGTACAAACAGGCAAACTGAGTTTTGAGCAGCTTATATAGACAGAATTTTATAAAACTTTCCTATCTGCTTCCCGTTTCCCACTTCCGCAGGAAGTGCCTCACCAGTTCTTTTGTGTATGTTATCTCTCTGGACAGAAAGCATATTATACTGGACAGAAAGATATATTATAGATAGCATTTCTTCAGATCACCTCCACCTGCTATGTATAGTGGGCTGTTTAGAGTAATTAAGGGCTGTGAAGCTAATAATATTCACATGTATTCATGAGTTTGGTAGCTATATCTGTAGGTTTTGATCAGAGCTGGGATGCTTTGTTGAGGTGTATTTTTATGTACAAGCAATCAATCATGCCTTTGCTGCTAACCATGCATTTCATACCCATCCACTAATTATCCAAAAATATCCTTTTCTGACTTCTAGCAGTCTGATTTGCATGTCATGTGCACAGATGACATTTGGAAAAGGCTAGGTACATTGCAACAGGACAAGGGAGGTGGAAGTAGAGAAATATACTTGAGAAAGAGTTCTGCAGTAGCAACGAGGTCCATGAATCAGCTAAGACCAAAAATGGGTAATACCTAAGATGCAGCCTCGTAAGGAGTTAGGATTTCTCTGGTGCTGGTGTTGGTCTGTCACACCTTTCCACCCAATCTGTGGTGCTTCTCATACTGCCCTACTGTGTGCATGTCCATACGTGTATCTGTCTTTGTCTGTTTCCCTGCCTCCCTCCTGTCCAGCGGGTGATCAGAGGCCGCAGCCAGAGCCTGGATACCATGGGGATATCCATGAGAAAGCAGCAGCCGCCCGCCTTGCCCAGCCGCCTGGCTGCAGCCAGCCTTGCCCTCAGCCAGAGCGTCGCCGAGGGCCCCAAGGCCATCGCTGCGGTAAGGGGTTTGGGTGGGCTGCCAGAAGAAACCCTGTGTGACCCACCCCTATGTTTTCTTTCCCTGTTAGTCTGTCTTTTTGTCCTTCTGTGAATCTCTTCTTGTCGTATCATCCCATTTCACAAGTGGTGACAGCATGTAGAAGGCGCCTCTGCCCACACAGGAGGGTTGGGACTAGATGATCTTTAAGGTCCCTTCCAACCCAAACCATTCCATGATTCAGTATGCAACTGTGTGTTGCAGTCTGTTTTGTCTGTGCCTATCTCTAGCCCCAGTTCATCTGTAAACTGCAGCTGAGATGGGCCCAGAACTAGGAGAAGAAAGATAAACGTGACTCCACACATTTATCTCTGCTATCTTTGACTAGATCCTGTATGGTTCATACCTTAAAAAATGCATGCAGTGTGGTTGGAACAGAATGGTACTATATGGCAAGAAGTGAGAACCTAAGAACACTAGATGTGTTCCATTTTCTTCAATTTCACCAATCAGCTTATTTTTCTGTAATGCAAACAAGTACACAATGTTTGTTCAAGGTGCCGTTTTGCTATAAATAGAATTTGCATGTTGGCAACAAACAGCAGAACTAATAAAGCTGAGAAAGGTGAGAAAAAGAGTGAATACTTCTAGTCACTATAAAAGATTTTCTTCTTTTATAGGGATGTTAAAAATACATGATCGGTATAACAACGATAAATTCCAGAAAAGGATCCATGTTTCTGATATTGGAAATATGTTTAACCCGGCCAGAGTTCATCCAGCTGGTTGTGGTCTCTGCACTATTGATGTCAATAGAGGCAGACTATAAAAAAAACATCTCTTGAGTAAGCCAAGAAAGTGCCTTTCAGTGTGGAAATTCTTGGTGGCAGTTTACCCAGTTGTATGCATTCTTTATGTCAGCACAAACAAGTTACAGCAGACTAATGTCTTGGCTGGCTGTCTCCTTCTTTCCTTTAACTTCCAGTTTTCTCTACCTTTCTGATTCTGCCTCTCCTTCTGTCATCATGTGGGGATACCTCCCTTCCTGAGCTTCATTCTTTGTATGCTGTTTGTTCCTATATCTTTGTCTCCTTCTCATCCACCCTTTGTAAGCCCTAGCTTCTCTTTCTCACAGACAGAAAGGACTCCTTCTTGCACTGGTGAAGCTGCTCCCTGCTATTGTTTTGCAGAGTAGAGGATCTGGATCTATGTTGCAAACTCCCTCTCCAGTGCTTCCAGTTCTCTACAGATTTTTCCTGTCTTGTTCCTCTCCCTGCTTTCTGTCACACTTTCCTTTTTTCTAGTCTTTTGCCTTGCCTGGCAGGAGCCCATCACGTACTCGAGGCAGCCGCTTCCATGGGCGACGGAGCAGTGCCATTGGCATTGAGAACATACAGGAGGAGAAAAGGTAAGAGCCAAGTGAAGATGAGACAGAGAGGAAGAAAACAGGAAGAGCTGAGAAAAGGGAGGTAGAACAGGAGTCAACATGAATGACAACTGAAATGGAAGTGGTTGGAAAGGGGAGAAAAACCTGTTTATTGGAGAAACTGACAAGTGACAATAACATACAAAACAAAAAAAGACATTTGGAAATGGGAAGAATCAGTATTTGAGGAAAAAGGGAGGAACACAGCAAGATCACTCTTAATGTTGTGCAGTATGATCCAGGATTCTTGGATCTCCTGGTCTGTATTCACCACTTTAGATAAGAGTCAGCTGAAAGGCTTTTACTTGGGAGAGGGGGTTGGGTACTTGATCATCTGTTTATTTGCTTTCATGTTAAAAAGCTCAATTAGACAAAAATTCTGACTTAAAAAACCCCAAAAACTTTAAGTAAAAATTAGTATTGTTTAAGTTAGGTGGTATGAGAAATAATTACAATTAAGGGGTAGTATACAGCTTCAAGGAGTGATTTGACATATTTGGCAAATTAGAACCATTCAAAGGTTGTCTACTGGTCATGTGAGGTTATTCAGTTAGATCAATACGTTTGTTTCAGCTTTAGCTGAGACATTTCTTTGAAGATTGTATAGGGTCTCAAGAGTCAGTCAGTACAGTTTTCCCAGTTGCAAGAATTCCAGAAAATAGTTTAAAGACTCAGTGTAATGGGGAAAAGACATCTTTAATGTGGAAACTAGTGATTTCACAACAGGAATAATTACTACATTGACCCTTCTTTCCAGTTATTCTTTTTGGACCTTTCTTTAATGAGGAGCCTATGACTTAATCTGAATAAAATAGTATAGAACTTTATTTGAGAAAAATGAAATTGTCTGAGACAGCTTTCCTGTACCAGTCTAAGCCAACACAGTAGCCACAGCTCCTCACTGTATCCTATGTAGCTGTGCCACTCAATCCATTACTCTGTGTACAATATCCTTCACTACTTATTTGTTTTGTTCCTGCTCTTTCCTGGGAGGGAATTAGTAAGCTATTCGGTGTATTTAGTTTTCATTTTGCAACCTGAGATACGAGGAACAGTGAACCTTGTGTTTTGTGAAAGACTTTTGTGATTCTTGAATCACAGAATAATGGAGTCATAGAATCGTTCAGGTTGGAAAAGACCTGTGAGATCATACAGTCCAACCTTTACCCTCATTTCCTCATTTTACTAACATGGCTCTACCAGCCCACTGCTAAACCATGTCCCTAAGCACTGTATCTAAACACATTCAGGGATGGTGATTCACACACTTCCCTAGGTAGCCCATTCCAGTGCTTAATAACCCCTTCTGTAAATAAGTTTTTCCTAACATCTAACCTAAACCTCCACTAATATAACTTGAAGCCATTTCCTCATCCTGTTGTTTGTTACTAGGGAGAAGAGACCAACCCCCGCCTTGTTAAAAGCTCCTTTCAGGTAGTTTTAGAGAGCAGTGAGGTTTCCCTTCAGCCTTCTCTTCTTTAGACTAAACACTCCCAGTTCTTTTAGCCCTCCTCATTAGGGTCATTTCTCAGACTTTTCTCCACCTTAGTTGCCCTTGTTTGGACCCACTCCGGCCTGTATTGAGATGCCCCAAACTGGACACACTACTCAAGATGTGGTTTCACAGTACAGGGCACCAATCCCTTCCCTTCTCCTGCTGGCCACACTATTTCTAATACAAAAGCCAGGATGCCACTGGCTGCTTTGGCCACCTGGGCACCCTGCTAGCTGTTAAGCTGGCTGTCAGGCAGCACCCCCAAGTCCTTTTCCTCTGGGCAGCTCTTTAGCCACTCTTCCCCAAGCCTGTAGTGCTGTACGAGGTTATTTTGACCCAAGTGCAGGACGTGAGACTCGTTCTTCTTTAAGATGATACAGCAGGCCTTGGTCCGTCGATCCTGTTTGGATCCCTCTGCAGAGGGAAAAAAAAAACCAAACAACAAAAATGTGAGTTTTCCAGTCCTTAATGAAACATACTCCACTTCTCAAACTCACATAGAAAGCTTTCTTCAGAAGTATCTTAACAAGTACTAGTGGCAGCAAAACTACTGTAACCATCCTGAAACAGGGAAATTTGCTGAATCCTTCTTCTGTATACAATAAATATATAAGCTCTCTAATCTCTAAAGCTTCTTAGACCAATGGAATGGGGAATGTGGAAGGAAAAGTTGAAGAGTTAAAGGAGAGTACTGAAGTTAATTTAGTCTTTTCTATCAATTCAAAAGGAGCTTAAAGTTGACCATTTTGAATATATTGCATTCAATGCATCCAAGGAGTCTGCCCTTTCCAACACACTGTATTTGCTTGCCTTTCATGTGCACAGAAGAGTTCCACCTTTGTATTGTGGCTTATAATGAGGTGTTAGAATAGATAGTGGTTAACTCTGGCTCCAGGGCATAGCGTGTTTCTCTTTTGTCTCCGAAGAGACACTGCAGAGAGGATACAGAGGGTGCTGGACAGTCCAGGAACTTTGTTTGACCTGAAGTCTGATGGATCATCTAGTCCTAGCTCCCCAGAGTTTCCCAGCAGGAAGAGCAAGTGAGTTGAAAATTATTTTAATATTTAAGAGATGCTCGCTGTGTCTGGTATTGGCTTAAGTATGGTGGTGTGTCTTGCTCTGTTGGAGGCATTACTAAGATTGTCCACATCAGGCATTGCAGCATCTGAAAAGTTAAATGTCTGGCCATGGCACAGTAATTCAGAGCATGTCAGTAAGGAACTCAGCTTCTTTAAACAGCCAGTGAAAAAAGATTGGACCACTTAAAGAAGATTTTTTACTGTATCTTTACTGTATTGTTAGCTTGCATCCAACAGGATACACATAGCCCTAGCTGTCCAATTATCCATGCTTACTCATGCATATGTTCCTCTCTATATATTCCTCTATAGTTTGCTCTGGAGTGATTTTGGAGCTTCATGGAGAAGAATGAACAAGGATATGTTGGGTTATACTCAAGTTCTGCCCCATTAAGCAGGATTCATGTGGCTGCTCCCAACCAATGAGAACTGTCTCCAATCCTCTCAAAGTGTTACAGCAGGGTCTCATGTGCTGTACCTGTGTTCCACTGCTAAAGCACATCATATTATACAGTGTTTTGCAAAACACTACATGCAGTGGTCTGCAAAATAGTTCTACAGTTTCTAGTGGTCAACAACTGGAAGAAAGCACTTTCATGGTAGTGCAGCTTTGCTGTTGCCAAGATGTATTATGCTGTTATGTGATCCTATCTAGAATAATTCAGGACTTCACAGAAACCACACATTTACATGTCCAAGATTCCAGAGCAGCCTGTCTGTAAATCCAGGGCTACAGCTGAATTTCTGGAACAGTTTGCCACCCTTGATGTTTTTTTTTTCATGAGAACTTGGGTACGACCTATACCAAAAAAGGCTCTGAGAACTTTGTAGTAGGACATGTACCTTTCTCAGAACTGGGGCTGCTCTAAGAAAATTCCAGGAGGTGCCCTAGAGCTACAGCCCCTGCTGTTGTAGTTGCTCCAGGTGCCAAATCAGACAAGGAAGTGCCTTCCTTCCAATTAAACCAAATGCTTCCTAAGAATTACAGGCTGGTGACTATTTGCAGTAGTTCAGCTACCTAACTGTATTCTGGAGGACTACCCAGAACTTTGTCACAGTCAAGGTGCAGAGTTCTGGTAGGTATGTTTTTGTGATACTAGTTTTTGGGTTGGGTGGGTGTCCAAACTTTTGGTGATGAGGAGGATGGGGGCACAGGTAGGAAGTACAGACCATTTACAATGCTAGCTGTGGCAGCCAAGGACAAGGGAGTACAGAACATGGAACCACCGATTGGTCAGCAACCCACTATCTGGCATTACTACATCATTCCACCTCCCCTTCCTCATCCTGCCTGGGACTTTGTTAGTGAACTAGAATTTCCTGGCTAGATTTGTGTGAGGGACTCCTTGTCTGATTAGGCAGCTGAAGTAACGTTGCATAATTGGCAAGAATTCTGCATAGTAAGGAAACATCTCATAGCTAAGCTAGTTCTGATTATCCTACTGTAGAATGTGTGTATGTCCTGGGGAAAAAAAAAAAAAAAAAAAGTATTTGACTGCAGGCTTCCCCCTACTTCCCAACACCCATTTTCCAGGTGGATGAGCCAGCTTCAATGGCTGTTTCCAGTTAGTATCACATATTTTCAGAGAGCAGGCATAGCATAGTGAAATCCCACTGACAGTGCTTGTATGAGCATTGCTTACACACGAGGCATGAGCTGTATGATTTGGCAGTCAGTCTTCTTCTGTCCCCAGGATTCTCTCTATGCATCTTTTTCCAGTCATGGACCCAAAATCACTTGTGTGATCATCAGAAAACATCTCTTCACAGTTGTAGTGGCTTAGCCCATTCCTGGGCGGTGGGATGTAGCATGGAGCTTTGCACAATTGGTGTGTAGCCAGAGTTAGAGTTGGGATTTCAGAGTAAGGGATCAGCCCATGTGCAGTCATACTTTCTGCATCGTATCTGCGACAGGGAATCAAGGACATGTAATTCCACCATGTAAACACACCATTTTCACCAAGATAGTATTAGCAGAGTATTGCAGGACTGGGATAGGAGAGCAATTTTATGGAAATAGTCTATTTATTGTTCATTAATTGAGGAACCAGAAGTCAGGATCATGATACAGGTGTATTTCTAATGCAAAAAGAGTTCTAGGTGGTTTTAGAGTAATTTACACAGCCTATATTAAAAATGTTCTCTCTGGTAGTATGTCATCAATATCCTCCTGTTTCTCCCAAGGGAGTAGAATCACAGGAAATTTTTCTGTTGCAAAAATGTCTAGCATGTTGCTGCTGGTCTTAAATAACCATTTCAGATTCCAGACCTGAATGATCAAACTCTTCATCTATGTTCTACTAAAATCAACCTAGAAATAAATGCAAAGGGACTGCATAAAGAATAGATAAATTATTTTATAGTAGAGACAAACCAGCATTTAATTTCTGTCCTTGCACACTGATTTCCAACATGCCCTTCTGTAGTGATCAGCCTGCAATTAATGCAACTGCATTGTTCACTTGAGCTAACAGTGTCTTCTCTCCCACATTCAGGGACAAATGTCCTTAGTTTTTTCTGCTCTACTGTCCAGGTAGCCTTCCAAATAATCCATCTTCCCAAGGGACAGGCTCAGAAGAATGATCCCAGCCTGAGTAACAAGGTAGCAAAAGTTCTCAGGATCAGAAGCCTTTCTGGGTTGCATCTGGAAATTCAAGCACTATACTGTGTATGTCCAAATCCTAGGAAAAGTACATAGGTTTTTTGTGTGTTTTCCCTCCTCAGACACATCTGAGTGGGGACATCAAGCCAATCAGGAATGGACCGGGTGCTACTCAGTCATTGGTTATCTCACTGACGATACTGGCAAGACTTTTGGGGTGAAGTGAGAATCCTGGCTAAGAGGAGCATGAACTTAGAGGACCTCAAGGACTGTGGAGAGACCAAGTGGCACCAAGTAACGCTCCCCTGGCAGTTCCTGGAGCAGGAATCCTTGGAAAGGGAGATGGACAGATAGCTCCTATTGGAGCATTTTAGCTCTATGTCCTTCCCATTGCCCAGTCAGCAGCCACTGAACCAGCCTCTACTGAGGTGGGGAAGGAGGCCACCTGGAGTGTGCCTCCTTCTCTTCCTCTCCCCTCAGATGAGTGAGAAGAGAACAGCTTGGAGCACAGAAGGCAAGAGAAGAACACATTTCCATCTCTATCTCTAGTGCCTTTGGATGACATAGGTCAGGAAGTGCAGTGCAAAGAATGAGGATGGAGAAACTTGCTGAGGAAGGATGCTGAGAAGGAGACATTTTGTGGAAATCTAGGTCCCAGCTCACTTGGATCCAGCTTATTGGTTTGCTCTGCCAAGGGAGAAGCATGTTTGCATTCTTTTCCTCCAAATGATATTTCTTATCTCTTGAGGAATATCTTGGCCTACGTTGGTCCTATCTTCACTGTTCTCCCTGTTGCATGCTGACATGTAATGTGCCTGGGATTTTAGGTTTCATTACTGCTTGTAGGCCAAGACTGGCCACATTTTGCAGTGTTTCTGAAGGAATAAATATATTTAGTATGTTAAAGATGTCCTCTCTTTCTTGCCTTTCTTAGTTTTTTAGGTTTTCTTAACATTATTAAGCACTTCATCTCTCTCTTACTAGCTGGTCTCCTGTGCAGGCAGTATTTCAACATAAATGTTAGCCTTACATGCACAGCACACCTTCCACTATGTAAGCACATCAGCCTCATGGACTGTTCTTTCTCCTAGATGACTGCAAGCAGTGGATCTCAAATTCTGAGCTGGAAGAAGCTGACCTTACGGGTCTTGGCAGATATGAAACATGCACCAGGCTACCCCAATGTCTGTAACATTTCAGAGAGTGGTCCACTGGTGGTCCAGTGGCCCAGTACAGTTTGCTTTGAATGTTCTGTTTTTAATGATCCTGTGGGAACTACAAGTCTAGAGGGATGGACCTACTGGAGCCAGTCTAATGGCACATACAAAATCACCAGAATGGGTATCCAGACCTAGGTGTGTTCCTGTCTGTAAGTGGGAGGATTCTGACATACCCATGCAAGAACTTGGCACTTGGTCCTCAATAGTTGGGCACTGAGACAACCTCCCTATTGCTTCGTTAAACTTTCTTAGTTAACTATTCTATAATGCTGGTTAATGTCTATATGCTTTTCTGACTCCTCCTGTTACAACTCTCCAGAAACACAGTGGCAACAGTTTATAAGCTCTATGACATGAAAAAATATGCTTTTATAGTCCCTTGTACTGGCTGGAATTTCCCATAAGACCAAACATGATGAGAGTGGCTGGGGTAATGGGTGGCCTAGGCTGGGTAGTGCCTTCCCCTTATACTCAGTTTAACACCTCATAGTGTTTTATGTAGGCTCCTAAAATCTCAGATCTCCAAAACGAAGGCATCTGTTTATTTTAATGAATGTCAAGAAGTAAACAGTGCTTAAATACAGGTGGTTTGACTCACTCTGCTTTCTGACTGCTATGTAATAAAGCTATGTCACAAAACTTGCAAACGTGTAATAAAAGCATGATGATGTTGAATGCTTGCATTTCACAGAATTATCAGGAGTCAGACCTCAGGTTAATGTGTGATGCAGCCATTCTCATATTCTTCATCCAGTGTAAGCAGTTGTTGTAGTGGTTTGAGGGAAAATGAAACATCTGAGGAAGAGGAGAATGACAGGGTAGGTGTATGATCTTTAACAAACAGAGGCTACAATCCCTGATTTTACCAAGTGCATTATTAAAACACCTCTTCTTTGCCCTCCCCAGGAGCTGATGTGCTCTCTCAAGGGCCTTCCAAAACAGGATTCAGTGGTTCAGAGTATGTGGCTGGATGACAGTGACTGCACACTCAGTACTTCCAGCTTGCCAGGTAAAAAAGAAAGAAAAAAAGAAAATATCCTCTGTGCTTCTAGAAGCATATGAGAAGTATCTGTTGTTGAGGTGCCCTGTTAGCTCCCCTGATCTCAGGCCCTGTTTGCAGTTGTGTTTCACTTTGTTAAAATGAACTGGATTGAATGGAAGCATTTCTTGTTGAACATCAGTCTAAAGCTACAATTATGGAAAATTTATATCTGTTTCAGTCTGTTTCTAGGAACAAGGCTGAAGGGGATGAGTAAGTTTTGGGAAATCGTGATTGAAAGGACTAAGCTTTGGAGACTGGAAAGTCACTGGAGACTGTGGAAGGCAAAATTTAACATTTGTCTCTAAGAGATTCTGGAATAGGAGCAGGTTGAGATGGTAAGAGGTACTAGAGATTACATGAATGGCAAGGAAGAGAGCTGGTTGGAAGGAGCAGTGAACTCTTTATAGGAATTGTGTGAAAAGGGATTTTTGAAAAAGATTACAAGGGTCAGAAAGTGGAGCCTATTTTCTTTGAAGACAGAGTTAGGTCTCAGTATCTGGAGCAGCCCTGTCTGAGATATAAAGACTGGCCATCAGATCCTTGCTTAAAATTGCCTGTATCTTAGCAACAGCAATAAAGATGCAAAACTGTGAGATGTTCTGCAGAGACCTCTGTTCTTAGAGGTTCTGTAAGATTTCTCTGCTTCTGCAGAACAACTCTTTGAGTTGTTCAAACAAGCATGAATGTTTGTATGCTTTGAGGTATGACAAAACCTAAAGGGCTGGTATTTAAATGCTGGAAGAACAGGAAAAGTCAGTGGAGTTATTGGTTATGCAGAGGAAGAAAAGAGCCATGCCATATTCCATAATTAGGAAGTGAGGTGCTATAAACAGAGCTTGCCTGTCCTGGGGGAGAGACATAAAGATGTTGAATGGGGTGACATGAAAAAGCAGCATGTCAGGAACCTTTACAGCAGAAGGTAACTAATGAAGAGCTATTAAGAGGCAGAAGTTGAGAATGAGCTGATGTAGATCCTTGTTTTGAAGGCTAGGAAGAGAGTTCAGTGTCATCAGCTCAGTGCAAGAGTGATAAATAAATACTGTAAGGCCAGGAGGCCCAACACCATGTAGTTGTGCCTCATGGTGTGAGGGTTTTCACTGTATCACCATAGCATTGTCCAGACTATCTTTTCCACAGGTCTGTGATTATTCTGATCGGGCCACAGCTCCCCTCACAAATATTTGAGCCTTATTCACTCCTGTTGCCTTTGTGGCACTGCACTGAGACAAAGCAGGTGTGAAATGTGATTTCCTGTCAAAAGTGAATGAACAGCTTGTGTTTATTTGTGATGAGAAATAGTAATGGGAGCAGAAAATTATTGTAAATGCAAACTGATTTGTTTTGCTTGAGTGTCAGAAATTGTCTACTGTCATCAAGTAAAAGAAACATTTCCTTTTTGATCTTGGTTCCCCTCTCATTTTTCCAAGAGTGCTCCCAGGCACAGACATAATAAAGTGTTGTTTTCAACAGTGCTGTTATGCCTCCCCTGCCATGGCCTGTAGCTTATTCCAAGTGTGATCTTTCCACGAATCCACTTCACACTCCCATCTACCTGCACCATATAAAGCCCCTTGGAAGTGATCGGGTTCTCTGTCCTTTTACCCATCTACTCAATTGTGCAAAATTTTATTCTCGTATTCTTTTTCTTGCCAGAAAATCCCACTGGAACCTAGTGCTGTAGCTGAGCTACAAAAGTTCAGAATCATATCCAAGTGCTAGATTTATAGTACAGGCCCAGCTTGTTCTGAACTCCCAGCTTTCCTTGTTAGGGAAAAGCTGCTGACTCAATATTATCTCCAGTAGGAGAGTGCTACGTTATTCAGTATAGCTGTTCCCCTTTTGTTATGGATATTGGAAGTAGGGATGCTTTCCAGTGGCCTCTGCTACTCATTCCAGGTAGTTTCCCTATCTGCTGACTCCTTACTGTCTCACAGATATACACATCATTAATGTATAATGCTATACCATATTTACTCTTGCATCTTCAGTGCAGAGATTTATTTTTTTAAATAATTATACAAAGGTTCACCAACAAGAATGCAGGTTTGTATATGGACTTCTGATTTATGCCAAGAGAGCCATAGTTAAAAGGGATAAACATAGTGGATACTTTTCTGACTAGTTGAAACCAGTTTACCTAATCAGGAGACTAGAGATTCACTGTTGAGTGCCATTGCTGATTGCAGTAAGAAAGCTTGATCATGGAACCATCCACGCCATTTAGAATGTGTTTGTGGTAATATATAAATGGGTAGAGAAGAAGGAATTAAGTGTTATGTCTGTGTGTGAGTTACATGAGGCAGTAGAGTTGATCCTGTATTTTCTAAGCATGAAGTGAAATCTTATTCTCAGGAATTTCAAAGGTTTTGAAATGTTATTTTCCAGAAATTCTGACAGTTCTTGAGCTAGAAAAAGGATATGATTAAGAGCAGTTCGTGCTAAAAAATTAGGAAAAAAACAGGGATGATATATTTATTTTGATTTTTGTGAATACTTAAAAGTTTTCTATTCATGTATTATAGCCAGGCCTGACAGAAGACTAATTAACAAGAGATCAAGAGTGGCAATACAAGATAATGTTCCTAGACAAAATTACATTTAAATGAACATTGGTAATTTGGGTTATCTATGCAACAGGGAAGATCTGTAATTATCCATAACCAACCATGCCTGGTTAACTGAAGAAATACCAGAGTTAAGCGTAACTAAAATCAAAGAAAACACCTTAGCACAGAGAGGCATCTGGGTGTAAAACATTAATGTACTGTGTACAATCAGACTGAACATTTTGGATGCCCCTTATTCTGAATGATTCTAGAATTCCTAACCCATTTACACATTCTTGGATACTCCAATTGTCACTTAGATTGTGAGAGCAAAGCTACAGAAAATAAAAAAATACATGGCAGCACTCTATGGTCATTATGCTACCAGAGCTAGATAAAAACATAGACAACTACCATTGCCAAAGCTCCTATTTTCTGAGTTGGCTTTAAAGCACCAAAATGTCTCATATACCAGTGCATATCACATGAGGCAGAGGTGACTTCCCCCTTAGCCTCAAGGCCAGGATATAAATTGAACTATAACTGTCCTTAAAACTTTCTTTAAGACACTTCTAGGTTACTTAATATACATAGTTGTTTTAGATGTGTTTTTCTTTCAGTTGCTTGGTCTTTTAGTCACTACCTACAAACATACATCATAATTCAATTTCAAAGTACTGGAGCTGGGATATAAACAAAATGGGGAAGAGCCCTAGTATTGCAAACTCATGTTGTTTAAAGCCACAGTTCAGAAATAAATGGCAGTGATTTACCAGTTTCATTTTTAAACCTCAGAGTTTTAAGTTACATCATGAAACTGGCAAAAGGGATTGTCTGCCTTTGCAAAACTGCTGAAACACAGGTGGAATTAGTCGTCAAATTCAGTAGCTTTTTTAATGAAATGAAAGCCAAGTAGCACTTTCCTTTTTTTTTTTTTTAGCTAGAATGGGAGGTAGGTCATGGTAACCTTAGTCAAGTAGGGTATAGATCCATTCTTTTCACTCTTATCTGTGAAGTCTGGGGTGAAAAGAGCTGTGTGTGCAGCTTCTGGGAGATCTTTTGATTATTTCTTTATTGTTCTGTGCTTGGTTCCCTTCTAGGAAGCAGGTTGCTTCCTTTCAGCAGTGTAGCTGGCTCCACTGGAAAAGGAAAAGGCAGCAAAGCAGATGCTCAGCACCATAATCCAGTAAGTGCTTTAAGAGTATGTTTCCTTCTCGCTTTCACAGAGGTAAGGCTGGGAGAAAAGAGACTTCATTTAGGAGGCTTTGCTTGCTGAGGCTTGAAAAGACAAGAAAGGGCAATAGGATTAGAGAACTGCCTTGTTCTGCAGGCCTCTGTTTTGTGCTGTGTGCAAGGTCACTGAAGGCAGGCCCCTGGGCCATCTGGCCTCACTGAAAGATGGCAGTAGATACTGTACAGCTTCACAGTGAATACAGCTGATCCTCTACCTTCTTCCCCAGATGATCTTCCATAGCCACTGGCCTGTTTTATCTACATAAAATCTGCCTTTCTTGGTTGCCTGCCCCCTCTCAGGGAACTGCATTTCCCAGTGAGATGCTTCTCTTTGCCCTAATCAAAGCTCAGTTTTGTTTTCTTCTTTTCTTTCATTATTCAGTTTCCTTTGCTCAGATGCCACCTGGCTTTCTCTGCACCTGCCCTCTGCTTCCTATGGTTTCTTTATTTTACTGAACCACTTTTTTTTTTTCCTCATCTTGTGACTTCGTGCCTATCTCTATGCTTGTTTGCTTTCAGCCTAATATTGGTGGGACTTACTTCTCCATGCCTGCTTCATAAATTTTCCAGAAATGGGAAGTGGGGCTGGACCTCCTGGTGAGAAGTCTATAATAAAGCAAAGGGGAACACAACTGCAGGGTTATTCCCTGGAGTTCATAGTCCAGTTTTGCCTGCATCTTAAGAGTTTCTCCTTCAGTTCAAAGTCACTCTCCTTACCCAGTATCTTCTGGCTTGACACCAAATAGCACGCTACCTTAAAAGTGATGTAGATGTCAGGCTCCCAGGAACTAGTTTGGTGTGTAGCTAAGTAGAAGCAGCGTCATCTTTATGGAAGAAAAAAATCTTCTAGCTATTCCTAAATAACTGGCAGTTCTTGTTAGTGCTTAGCATCTACCCCCAGGCCTGGAAAAAGACACGACAGTTTTAAAAATCCTCAATGTTTTTTCAAGTAATGCTCAGCTTTCAGTTGCCCTGCCACCTGGTGGGATCCCGGGAAGTCAGATCAGCAGTTCAGCTCCATGCGGTGGTGGCCACTGGTGTCGCAACAGTGACATTTACAGAAAGCACACCAGAAAGGGAAGCCAGCTAGAGAAGCTGGCACTCAGCACTGAGACTACTTAAATGCAGGCTGTGCCTAAGATAAGTACTGTGAATGATAGCATGGCTGCCAGCCAGTTGTGCCGCTGGGGAATTCACCGGTTTTAGCTTGTGCTCTCCACCAGGTCTCTGCAACACAGGAAGTTGCCTAAACAAGAGGCAGAACCTCTTCAAAGCTCTGCTTCCCAAACAAGCATTTTAGTTTTTTTTCTCAAAATAGGTATACAGCCAGAATTGAAACAATATGATATAAATGCAAAGGATGTGACCACTTACTAGTGGCTATTTCAGGCAATAAGCAATGTAAGGAAAATCCCAAGTTTGGATTTTCCTTATCTCAGTAGTTTTCAAGTACTGTTTTAGTACCTAAGGCTTTGATCATTTCATTTCCATTGATTTCAAGGGCCTTTAAGATAATTTTGGAAAATATATGGCGGTCTGTAAGATCCAATTCATTTGGTCTATGTGACAAATCAACAACATTCTGTCACAAAGGTTGGGTTTTTTTCAGTCAAAAAGACTGAAAAAAGACTGGTTAAAAAGACTAAGTTTCATGAAACCCTGTCTATCACCACAAGATTATTTCAAGATGTTCTTTGCATTCTCTCCACCAGTTTATTTACTTCCACAAAACAGCATTTTAGTAATTTCTGAGACAGTACTGCCTATGCAAGTGGTCTCCTGTCACTGGGGTGATCTGGCTTTAAATTATATTTCAGGCATCCCGTTTTTATCACAACCTCAGAATCAGTTTGATAGAACAAACTGGACACTAGAAAATTTCTGGGGGGAAATGGTAAAAAATCTGTTTAACATGGCTTCAGGGAATTCAAAGAAACCATGTACATAACTTCCTTGTTATTCTAACTCTCAAATCAATGTAGCCTCTTATATCTCACAAAGATTTCCTTAAGTTCCAGGCTGGATTTGCCCAAAGACTAATGGGTACATTAGTGGAAAGGAGGAAGGAGTTCTAAAATTATAGGGTATTTCCTGAAGAGCTGAACAAGTTTTAAGAAGGAAAAATTGTGGATGGGGCAACAAATGATACTTGCACACTTATAGCTGTAAGAACATGAATAGATTCTTTTTCTGATGCTTTGTTCCAGGATTTGCTGTTCAAGTGAACAAGCATGAACATGCTTTACCTTAAAGTTCAGAAAGAGACAGAAAATGGAATTCCAGCTGCTGCTAGCTCTTCTGATTCCTTCAGCAATGCATCACAGCCAATTGCTAAGAAATCAAGTCTCATACAAATCAAATTAATTCATGTGTGTTATTCCAGTTCAGCTAATACAGGACTAGGTTTAAACTATTTCAGTATAAAATTTCTATCTACTGTAATCAGAGGCGAGAGTGAAAAATGAAGGTTTGGTTTTTATTGTTCTTCCATTTTTCCCTCTGCAGACTAGATGATGGGAAATCTCACATAGCCTTAATCAAATCACTTCTGGATAGGCAGCAATTAGGCCACCCCTGAGGAAGCAAAACAGTCTGGTTCAACTGCCAGCTGAACATCCATGGTATTCCTGCCCCTCTATTCTGCCTTGGTGAGGCCCCACCTGGAATATTGTGTCCAGTTCTGGGCCCCACAGTTCCAGAAGGACAGGGAACTGCTTGGAAGAGTTCAGTGCAGAGCCACAAAGATGACTGAGGGAGTGGAACATCTCCCTGATGAGGAAAGGCTGAAGGAGCTCTCTTTAGTTTGGAGGAGACTGATGGGCGACCTCATCAATGTTTACAAATATGTAAAGGGTGAGTGTCAGGAGGACAGAATCAGGCTTTTTTCAGTGATGTCCAGTGGTAGGACAAGGGGCAATGGGTGCAAACTGGAGCGTAGGATGTTCCATGTTAGTATCAGGGGGTGCAAACTGGAGCATAGGACGTTCCATGTTAGTATCAGGAAAAACGTCTTTCCTGTGAGTGACAGAGCACTGGAACAGGCTGCCCAGAGAGGCTGTGGAGTCTCCTTTGCTGGAGACATTCAAACCCACCTGGACACGTTCCTGTGTGATGTGCTCTGGGTGACCCTGCTCTGGCAGGGGGGTTGGACTGGATGATCTTTTGAGGTCCCTTCCAACCCCTGGGGTTCTGTGATTCACCATTGTCCTCTGAAGACATTACTGTAAAACTAAGATTAATTACAAATACTGCAAGGTCTGGGGCTGATGTCTGAGAAAGCATGTGTCTGGTCATGTCCTCAAATGTCAAGTCACTAAAAAGCAAGGTGTATAAACTGCTGTCCAGGAGGGGAACAGTTCCTTTTGAAACAGCTGATTGGTTCCCTACATTTCACTCTGGGCTTCAACTCTCCTCTCTTCCACTCCTCTCGTGTGCCCTCCAATTGCCATCCTGCAGAGTAAAAGAAGTGTGAATACCTTGTCCTGTGCTTCTATTGTCTGTGTAGTATCTTGGACTTAAAGGAGAATGTGGCCAGCTTCTCTTAGGCTGTATGTTTGTATGTTTCTAAAGGACAAGCAGCAAGATATGAGAAATCCAGAGATCACAGTCCAAGGAACAACAATCTTTAATGTTAATCATTAATTTGTTGAAAGAAAAGAGGCACATTCGTATTGGTAAAGACCTCATCAGACTGATAATACTGGCAAACCTTCCCCTTCTTCATAATTAGAGATGATACTGAACTGTAAAGCTAGCTATTAAGGATGAGAAAACTATCTCTTCATAAAATTGGATACATTCAGATAATCTCTTAAGATTGATCATATTCATACATATTTTCACTCTTATATACCTCCCTGGGACTTTTCACATCTTGGCACTTGGAACTGATGGAACAGGTCCCAGCCATTTTTCACCTGCAAAACAAACCAGCACAACAGAGAAAGTTTAAATTTAATACACAGAAGTGATGGTCCAGTCACATTTCTGCAGTAGGATGACTGTTCCTACTCATATTTCCAAGGGGATGGTATACAAATTTATTTTTATCTCTCTCCTGCTTTTCATGCTTCAGCCAGCTCCAAAAATCCTTCATTCAATGGTCACAACTGAAACTGTACAGAAAAATTATTTTCCTCTGTCACAGATGAGAGATTCTGCAGGTCTGGGGCACTCCACCTGATGAAGCCAATTATTTTTAGGACTCATTTTCTGAGGGGCTGGGGGTAAGGAAGAGCTGTGGAACTCAGAGAAACAGAGAATATTTATTGAAGTCCTTGGAGTTCAGACTAGAAACCAGGCCATAACATTCCAATTAGGATTACTATCACAGTGGGTTTTGGGTATTCATCTTCCTCACTTTCATCTTCATCAAGAGTATTTTTATAGAATCAGAAACTAATCCAGAAAATAAAATAAACCTTAAAAAAATCCCTCCTGTTTAAGCCTATGACTAATTTTAATTTACATTAATTAAGATTTTCTGCTGAAATTTTCCAACAAATGGATCAGAGCTGTGCATAACTTTCTAGTGACAAACTCCCCCAGGTGCCAAATCTTGAGATCAATAGTCAGATGCCCCCTACCTCATGTAAAAGCAGGTGACTAAGTTTTACTAGTTACCACAACCTATTCCATTTCTCTTAAAAATCTAAAATTCTTTTTCTATTAATAGAAAAATTAAAAGAAGGATGATTGACATATGAATTTCTGTTATAAAGCTGTGTGGTTAAGTATTTACATGCTATGGATTGGGGAGTTGTGATAATGTGATTATTATTAGGATGGAACAGGTATAAAATGAAAGTTTAAACTGAAAAAAAAAAAAAAAGCAGTATCAGCCATAGTGTTAATCTTCTCCAAGATCTACTGCCCAGTACCAAAAGGTTAAATTTGAATATTTTGAAAACTAAAAGAGTTTCAGCAGTAATTGCAGTATAGCATGTGTAGCACAAAGCCTTGAAACAAATCAAGAGAGAATGATGAACTGAAATTACTTCATGTTTGGAAAAGGACTACATCTTTGGTCACTCTGACTGTACTGAGATACATTCCAATCAACAGTTTCATCCAATGAGAAGTATATCCAACATTATTTAATATTTGAAAGATACTGGGAGTGTTTTATTTTACTGTATTCCATATTTTATTAAAAGAGGGTGAAAGCATGAAACCAGAAGTCACGTTAGGTACACTCACCTATCATGCTGCCTAGCAGCTCTACACGATCAGAGCCAAAAAAGAGATGAGGTTCCCCATTATAATGTGCCACAACAGCAGGCATCCCAAAGGCCTATTGACACCATAGATGAAAACAAAGAATGTTGTAACAAGAGAAAATTTTGCTAACATATGATCAATCTTCACGAATAAAAAGCAAAAACTTTGGCTTTATTTCATTCCCTTTTTTCAGCATCTTCATTCTTAAACCTGAGTCTAATGGAGCCATCACAAAGCAGGGAACTCTCCAGAGCCTGTATGTTCCTTTTGAAAGAGCAAAAAAACCAACCTGATAAATCCACAGTTCTATGTCAACTATCTCTTAGTACTGGTCCTGTAGCTCCCCATCCTTGCAGTCCAGCTGGAATGAGCTGAACGAGTCAACCTTGTTTTCCCAGATGACAATGCAATAAACTAACCCACAACAGTGAGTTAGCTTTCACATGTTCAGAAAGCAAAGACCACCTCAGAGGGATGGTCTATGTGGTGCTTTCTAATCATCCCCTTCATTGCTCTGCAGTATTCTCAGCAGGGAAGGAATGCTTAGCTGTGATGCTAAATGCTATTGGGAGCATCTCACCCCGTATTTTATTGCTTCCGTTGTTGTCTCTTTCAGTCGGTTCTTCACTGCAGGGGATGAAATCATTTCAAGTAGCTGCTGGGTGACCTCTGATGACAGCCCAGCTTGTCCTGCAACCTGAGAAGAGATAATATAATTAAGAGTACTCTGATATTAAATATTCCAGTTCCTACTATGGTCAGTGTTGTCACTTGAAGTCTATTACCCCAAAAATTACAAAACACCCTTGAAGCACTTCTGGCACAATTGTCATGCTGCATGTCCAACCCATTCATCATTTATTGACTTTCAGATACAAAGTAGAAGGAACATTTTAAACTTCCAAGCCCCAAATCTGCACTTTTATTTTCAGGAGTTCATAAACAGAGAAAAAGAAAAAGGAAAAAAAAGTTTAACCTATGATCCAGTCACTTCTCAGGTAACTTACAGAAATGAAAAAAGGTTGTTCTGAAAAAGAAAATCAGACTGTACAAGCCTGCAAAGACAAAAGCAGTTTGTATGATAAATGTGGCCACATTTACTGCCTAAAAGAGACTGTAACTTGTAGAGGTTAAACAGCTGCTAGTGTTACTACTGTCTCTTTTTAGCCTTCTCCATGCCTCTGCCACACAGGAATGAGATAAAGAAGTCAAAGGTAAAGGTCCAATGTTTACCAGGTAACACTGAAGTTATAAGAATCTATTATAATAAAGTATCTCACAAAAAAAATGTTTACTTCCATGGTATCTACCTGACTGACATGACCTTTTTCTTTTTCTTTAAAAAAATGTTTAAATTAAAAATGCTTTAAGTATTGCCAATCAGTACAGATCAGTATTCCTGCACATGCAGGTGTTAATGATTTTTTCTTTCTTTCTCTGAATCACTTTTTTGTTTGGCATCCACATTTTCATATGCCTTCTCCTACTTCCAGCTCAGGGAGATTAGCTCCTTTTTACTCTGCTTGAGTGGGAGATAAACAAGTGTAGCACTGGAACAGAACAAAATGCTATGTACATTTGGTAGCCACGGTGTTCAGACTGCAATATTTACACAGAGAGATGCAGTATCTGGTCCTTACCATTCTAGGGCAGAAGAGGCATTTAAGTGGCCTTGGGCAAGATTCAAAGACTAAGCATATGGAGTTACTGCTGACTAAAAAAAGAAGTAAAAAATACTAAGGGACTGTATCAAGTAAATAACATTATTTTTTTTCTAATGGATGTATAAAATAAACTCCCTGATAAAGATTCAGATGAAAGGGTTGGGACCCCTCACTCAGCTTTAGCTGGTGTATTTCCACAGAAGAGGAAGGTCTAGTACTTGCTGTAGGGGTGAATTTAGACAGACACAAGCAGATGTGTCCATGAAGGGCAGGTTCTGCTTGATGAACCTAATCTCCTTCTATGACAAGGTGACCCATTTAGTGGATGAGGGCAAGTCTGTGGGTGTAGTCTACCTGGACTTCAGTAAAGTCTTCAGCACTTTCTCACAGCATTCTCCTGGAGAAACTGGCTACATATAGCTTAGGCCAGTGTACTCTTCACTGAGTGAAAAATCAGCTGGCTGGCTGGGCCCAAAGAGTCGTGGTTAAGGGGAGTTAAAAACAGCTGGTGGTAGGTCACAAGTGGTGTTTCCCAGGGATCAGTGTTGAGGCCAGTTCTGTTTAATATCAATGATCTGGATGTGGGGATTGAGTGCTCCCTCAGCTCTTAGCAGATTGACACCTAGTTGGGCAGGAGTGTTTATCTGCCTAAGTGAGTAGAAAGGCTCTACAGAGGGATCCAAATAGGCTGGATGGATGGACTAAGGCCCATTATATGAGGTTTAACAAGGTTAAGTGTCTGGTCCTGTACTTGGGTCACAACGACCCCATGCAGCGCTGCAGGTGTGGGGCGGAGGGGCTGGAGAGCTGCCCAGAGAAAAAGGACCTGGGGGTGCTGGCTGACAGCTGGCTTAACATGAGCCAATAGTGTGCCAAACAGCATCCTGGCCTGCATCAGGAATAGTGTGGCCAGCATTGGTGCCCGTACTTCGCACTGGTGAAACCACACCTTGAGTAGTGTGTCCAGTTTGGGGCACCTCAATATAGGCTGGAGCAGGTCCAAACAAGGGCAACCAAGGTGGAGAAGGGTCTGAGAAACAACCCTAATGGGAAGTGGCCAAGAGAACTGGGACTGTTTAGTCTAAAGAAGAGAAGGCTGAGGGGAAACCTCATTGCTCTCTAAAACTACCTGAAAGGAGCTTGTAACAAGGTGGGGGCTGGTCTCTTCTCCCTAGTAACAAGCGACAGAACAAGAAGAAATGGCCTCAAGTTGCACCAGAGAAGGCTTTCATTGCTTATTAGGAAAAAAAAAAAATCACCAAAAGGGTTATCAGGCACTGGGACAGGCTGCCTAGGAAAGTGGTGGAGTCATCATCCCTGGAGGTATTTAAAAGATTTGAAGATGGCCATGGTTTAGTGGTGGACTTGGCTGTGCCAGGTTAAGGGTTGGACTTTTCCAACAAAACAATTCTATGATTCTACTTTCACTACTGTTAATAAAACAGTACTAACAAATAATTCATTGTTCATCTTGGGTATCTAACCACATGAATTAAGAGAAAAGGATATTCTAGTACTCAATATTATTCTAAGCATGATGAGAAAAAACTCCAAATGGAGCTGCTAAGGAAATAAAATCCCATTTTTTTCTAGCTGAAATTTTCTAAAACTCCAAATGACCATTTGACTAAGCTGTCTTCATGTATATTCAGATGCAAGCCACCAGTAAGATGTAGTATCAGAGATGCAGAAGCACCAACAAAAAGGAAACACTTACAGCCACTATACTGTCCGTCTCACTGATATCTTCATGCTGGTAAAAGAATAAAATAAGTAATTCAGTACTTAAGAACAAAAGCTCATCTCTGGACTTGAAAGCAATTTTTCTAAGAAATCAGAAATAAAAATCAATACTAGTTGCTGGAGAAACTTTCTCAAAGACAGTTTTAAGTCACCTAACATAGGAATGCACAAAGTGCTTTCTTGTATAAACTACTGACCCACTCAGCCCGTAGGACTCACCACACATACCTAAAAGGTGGAAAGTTAAGATGACAATAAGCAAATTTTTTTCTTCTAATGGCTCCTGAACCACCATGACATACATGTTTCCTGCTATGACTTTACATTAGAAAATACTTCCTTTCTCATGCTCAAATTCCACACTGAGACAGGAAGTGTGACAGAGAAAGGATCAAGAAGTTGGCTTCATCAAATACTGACCTGTGACCAAAAACGTGCCCAGAACTCTCTAGAGACAGTTTCCAGGTACTGTGGTTGTGTCATATCAATGGCTGTGAGGAAACGCATGGCCCCAAGAGTGCCTGGTATTAGTGGGAGACACAGGATGAAACAAGGCAAGGGATCAGGAATGGAATCAGGGATCCACAGGATCAAGGAATGGGATCAGGAATCAGATATGGTCTGTAGAAGTCCTACTTAAGAGTAGGATCTTCTCAGTAACAGTCCCCAAGCAGCAAAGCATATGCTGATTCACAGTATCTTCCATGCTAATGTCATTCACAAGCATATTTCTCCAGAGGTTCCTTTTATGGTTAATTTATCTTGCTTAGGAGGAGGCTGTGGACAGGGAATTAATCTTCAGCTTGACACCTCACTAGGAGAGCTTTTAACCAGAACTTTAAGGAGAACTTTAACCAGAAGTGCTAGAGTTGAAAGACACCAGCTAAGTCAAGTCTCTTACTTACTTGTACCAAGGATACGTTTGAAGTCATCTCCTGAAACTTTTAGAGGCACTTGGTAGTATTTTGCCATCCTTTTCATATCCTTCAGCATGTATTCTCCACGCTTTGGCAACATTGCTGGGGGCTTGTTACCTTTCAGGGAGAAGTTCCATTATGAATATTAAAACTCTGTTATAGTAGTACTTGGCAAAAGAAAACTGGACAAATTAGATCTCATGCATCCATGTGCGTAAGGACGAGTTTAATTTCATATTGGCTTCCTGAAACACACACAGCTTTTCCAAAGATAATGCTAAGATTTAAACATAATTTATTTTGGTTTTGCACAGAGCAATTCTTTAAGTTAGCAGAACCAGTTTTAACCAAGGTACAAATGTCCATCAGGGATTTATATTGATTCCGATCAGACTTTTAAGCTAAACAACTACTAATGCATGGGTAATGAAATGTAGAGACTTCTTAATGTCATGATTTATGAGTTATAAAACTCAGTGATTAACTTGTTCTAGTAAGGCCATAAATACTACTTTACGGCATACTGGGACCCATCATGTATGTTACAAACTACAAGCATTCCACAAATTAATTCAGGTTTGAATTCAACACAAAACTTTTAGAAAAACATTCCATATCAAAGTACTGATAGGGCAAGTTGGTTGGAGTCTGAGCAACCTTATCTAGTGGGGCCTGGTTCTAAATGATCTGTAAGGTTCTTTCTAACTCAAACCACCCTATGATTATGATCCTACTTTAGAACTGACAAACTTTGGCATAGACTGTATGTGCCACAAACAGTATAACCATGTGGGTCTGTGTAGTTGCAATGGTATGAAATTCCTCATGGCTGATTTCTCAGTCACTACTGAGCACCACTGTGGTTAATTTGCTATTGGTGCACAAACTTAAGTTTAAAGCTGGCTCTGCAGGCTCTGCACCCACTCGGAGCTTGCCTGCCAGTGTCCTACCAGTGAAGGAGGCATTTCCTTATGGAGCTAACCTCCCTGCACTGCCTACCTGTTTCATGCATTATGCCACCCAGGAAGGCCGGACGGAAGCGCAGATCAATATTCCAGATGTGCCGATACCGACAAAGCACCTGCAGTATAAAATAGCAGTGATGTACTAACAGCTGGAGATGCCTGTGGAGCTGTGTGTAGCTAGGACATAAGCTGAGGCATGAAATAAGGCAACAGAGATAAATCCTTTTCTATTATACTAGTGCTGGGCCTAAAATCATTTTCTGGAGGCTGCCAGAGAACTCTGAACCCAGAGCAACAGGAGCGCGTTCCTACGGTGCCCATACGAGTCTGAGCAGGGGTAAACAAGTAACAGATCAGTCAGGGCCATGAGTGCACACTCCCCCTAACACCAAACCCAGAACCAACTGCTCAGAGGTAGCTCCCAAGCAAGCACAGGCCACGCTGGTATTTCCCACACGCCCTTCGTGTTCCGCACGTGAGCAGGAGCCCAAAACACGCCTGACGAGTGTGACCGCATCAGACCGAGAGGGCAGGGGGAAGGGGAGGCAGGGCAGGGCGGCGGGGCGGGACCAGCTGTCCTTCTGG